TATTAATGTTAGTTAAGGCTAAGATTAAATTGTAAGAGAAGTCTTATATGTTATAGTCATCCTGCTATTGCCTTAGCGCCTCTTGTCGTTGTAACTATTTTTAAATAGTCGTTAGTTCTTACGTCTCTAAATAGCTGGCTATAGCGATCAGCGAGCTCAGAATAAAAGAAGAGGACATGTTTTATAGTTTGTTATGCTTATCTGCAAGTATATAAAGCTAGCTTATCTAATATAAAGCAGTCTATAAGGAAAGTGTTTAAGCTAATCTTTTTTATCTAAATTTATATAATTATTAAACTTATAATCTTATTATATTAGAAGTAAATATCTAGCTTATAACTTATTATATCTAGTTATACTAGTATTCTTATATACTTTAAGAGAATTAAGGCTAGATATATTATCTAGAGTTTATTTTAACTATACTTTATAATTATATATATTATCTTGTTTTAAGAATTAGCCTTATTATTAATATTTATATCTTATTATAAAATTATATATCTTTATAAAGGCTCCGGAATTAATTAACATAACTATATAAATATAAGTTCCTTAGAGGTCTTCTTTAAGCTATATAAGAGCCTATAAGAGTTTCCTCTTAATTATGCTTAGTTACAAATTATTATATATACGTCCTTAATTATGTTAGTTACCTTACTTATAAGCTGTCTTTTTATTACGTTTGTAAGCTAGGCTAAGAGAACTATAGTAATAAGAAGAACTCCTAACTCTTTCTTTAGAATATAATTGCCTATAGCGTAGTATATGTCTAAGACTTGACAAAGATTCTTGTTTTGTAAGACTTTTAGTTTCTAATTTACAAACTTATAAGAGGTTATAATCTTTTACAGAGCATACTAAATAAAGGCGTTATAAGTGATTATAAGCCTTATTACTAATGTGTATATCAGTTTTGCTATTCTAAAGCTCGCCCTTTATATAGAGATTAATATATAATTAATAATAAATAATTATGCAAAATGCTTCTGAATTATCTTAGCTAGATACAGACCTTATTTAAGTTTGGTATCTATCCTTATGTTGTTAGTTATAACCTTATATATCTAGCTAATACAAAGTAGCGTTATTATATTAAACAGTTTTAGCCGTTTTATAAAGTAGATTAGTTTATACTTCTCTAGCGTAAACTGTGCCTTATGCTTATTAGCCTAGATCTTGTATTAATAATAGATGTTTTTGAGTATTATATAGTTTCTTTTTGTAAAGGCGCTATATATAAAAATATAAATATTATTAATAAAGCTAATAAATAATGTTTATAATCTTTTATTATTAGTTATATTTAGTAATTCTATAATAAAAAACAAAAAAAGAATTAATAAAATTAAAGAACCTTATAAGATGCTTGTTTCTATATAAAAGACTTCAGATTCGCCTTTATTTACTTTGATTTTGGTGAATCTTTTATAAAGGAAGCTTATAACCTATTATATAATATAGTTAAGGATCCCTTTTTTTTATAGGTTATTAAAAAGCTATATATATAATATGTTGTTAAATGCCCTTGCTATATTTATAGCTAGTATAATTATCATCTATTATTTGCTAAGGAGATTCTAAATAGTGTAGACTTATTTTGTAAAGAGTTAAAAGACTAACTTTATTAATCTTTCTTTATATATGTCTATTTATGTCTCTAAAAGAATATAATGAGTTTCAGCTAGTTACAAAAGCTTATGTAATATAATTAACTTAAGTAGTTTATTTATAGTGTTAAGAAAGGCAATTAGGCGGTACGCTCTTACTACTATATAGTCCTCTTTATTTGGCTTCTGTAATATAAAGGTAATGGCCTCTTTTTATGCTCTCAGGTAGTATCTGATATAAACTATTACATTAAAGATCTTGAGCAAGTAAGGAGTTAGCTATTCTTCCGCTTTCTTAAGCACTCTGTTCAGGATCTAATCTGGTCCTAGGGCTTTATTATTCATGAGATGTTATAACGCTAATTAGATCTCCTCTTTTTTGATAAAGGTAATGGCCTCTTTTTATGCTCTCAGGTAGTATCTGATATAAACTATTACATTAAAGATCTTGAGCAAGTAAGGAGTTAGCTATTCTTCCGCTTTCTTAAGCACTCTGTTCAGGATCTAATCTGGTCCTAGGGCTTTATTATTCATGAGATGTTATAACGCTAATTAGATCTCCTCTTTTTTGATTATCTCTTTAATATTAATCAGAGATAAATAAAGGCTCAAGTTAATGTCTATAAGATCTGCTATCGCAGGCTTTAGGAAGAACTTATCCTGCAAGGCAGCAAGCTTATCCGGGAGCATCTTTAGACAAGTTGTTACGATTTCTTGTGACTTATTACAGGTCTTTATGATCAGGGTTAGCAGTTATAATAAGTCCCTTAGGCGGCCCGTATATAGTCTTGCTTATTTAGCAAGTTGGAATGCTCCTTAAGAAGAATTAGTAGCTTTAGTAATAAACTCTCGAAATTCTGTCTGTTTAGCAATTTTATATCTTATTATTAAAATTAATATTAAAGAATATAAGACTTATAAAAATTTAACTAGATAATAAAACTTAGGATTAAGAATATAAGATAAAGAAAGTCTTAAATAAATAAGATATTAATAAAAAATTTTATTACTTAATAAAATAATTAAAATATATAGACTTAAAAAATATATAAGAACTAAAAATAAATCTTAGTTATATACTTTGTATATACTAGTAATACGCTAGCTTTAGGGGACTAACTTAAGCGTGCCCTTAGGCTTAGTCTAGCTCTAAGGCAGTACTATAATAATAGGGTCTCTAAGGCTTCTTAGATGCTTTATAACAGGCTCTTTATTTAGTCTTATTAAGTTTAGCATAATGCTTTTATAAGGCCTTTTCTGTCTAGCTTTATAAGTACAAATCACGTGCGTTTTATTAGTAATCCTTATAACACTTAAATATCCAGATTTATCCTGATAGGGATGTAGTCTTATAGTAAGGCCTAGCACTCTTCTAAACTATAGAAGGTTACTTGATTATTTAGCGCTTATAATACAAATGTTAGGTCAATTACTAAGCTGTAAGTACCTCTTCTCTAGATTGCCTTCCCCTTTAGGGTTAGTAGTCTAAGATTATAATAGTTAGCTTTGTTAAGCAGGTGATTTGTACCTTATTTGTATGTAGTATTAATACCTCCTTAAGCAGGGTAGTAGGTATTAAAGTCTCTTAGTAATAAGACCTTTTCCTTAGCCTTATAAATCAGCAAGCTGCGTGCTTTACATATGCAGGTTAAGAGAGGATCTCGCTTATACGCTCTGTTCCGCAGGCAGCTAGCATGCTTACTCTGTTATATCTTAGGCAGTGTAGCAGGATATGGCGAACTGTTTACATATCAAACTGCGTACCAATTACCCGTGAATGCATGCCGAGGAGTGTGGAAGCTTATAGTCAAAAACAACTATTTGACTGCTCTAACATGACCCTCATGGACGTATCAAATGGTAAAGAGTTCAATGGTGACCTTGATCGGGAGAAATTCTATCAGAAGCTCTTCCAGCAGAAAGGTCACGAAACTGTGTCAAGATACAATTTGACAAATCCACATCTCTTTGGCGTCGCGGCCGTATTCGCCGGATCACCACCAAACTACAACAAGACGGCCACAGCTGATGAAGCCTTAGTTTCGACCATTGGCAATGTTCCTTTTATTGTTGCTTGCAATAGCACCATCTACGACGTGATATATCGATCTGTGAACCAGACCATAACGATTGAAACCATCAGTCCGAGTATCCTAGACGTGTCACAGAGCATCAATGGGCCGATGATGATCGCCCAGCAAGTAGTCCAGCCCTCACTACAAATGAGATTCTTATACTCCATGGCTGCAGCCTATTCAGAAATGGAAACCGCAAATACCTTTGGACGATGGTACAGCGAGACATCACTAGCATTTTCCATCGCGGCATTCGAAGAAGTACCCAGCCTGGCAGAAAGGACAGGTTATTATCTCTTTTATAAATAACTTATTAACCTTGTTCTTTTCTTAGCTGCTAGTGAGTTATACAATCATCTTTGTAGTCTCTAAAAGTGATTAATTAGTTGGTTAAGGTTTCTTAGCAGGGGGCTTTGCGGGCTGTTGCCGTGTGGCGTCTGCGTACGACTGAGGTTTTCCCCTTGGTTGGGGGGCTGGGGCTAATCTTGTCAGGGCTTGCTCTACCCGTTCTAATCATGCCGCTAGGTCCTGGGCTTGATCTTGTTTCTCTGACGGGTTGTTTGTAACGTGTGCTTCTCGTGATTTAGGCGTATTCCTCTGACAGGTAGGCGCGTCCTGGCTTTAGTAGTCGTACGTCGTGCCAAGGGACGGCCTATTCTGGGCCTCCATAGGTTTCTTCCCATGCTTGAATGGATTCGCGTACGAAGTCGATTGTCTGTGTGTGTGTGTCTGTCATGTTTGTACATTTGTCTTAGAAATTATAAGAGATAAATGTTCTTTATTATATAATTGTAGCAGCCTATATAATTTATGTATAAAGACTTGATTTACTTAAATCTAACATTTACAAGCAGATATCTTGAGAAGATATCTTGAGAGAATATCTTTAAGAGGGTGCTATCCTAAGAGCGTGCCCCCACAGCGTACCCCAACAGCGTACCCCAAGAGGGTGCTGCCCCAAGAGGGTACGGCCCAAGAGGGTAAGGCCCTTAAACAGAATCACATAACCTTGTTAGTCCGCCGTACAGAGTCCATTTTAGGCCTTTATTAAGTTCTTTAGGCTTAATAGCCCCTCTTCTGTTCGCAGTCTTTAGGATCTGCCAAATACCTGAGCGCTCTTCATTGATCCTAAGGGATGTTCAACTACACTAGTGTGGCTGGTTGAAACACAACAGGCCAAACGGCAATAAGAAGAGGCAAGCCTCTCTTCAGATCAACGACAATTTCACAATCACAGCTCGAGTGATGGCAGTATCTGAGACTAGGGTGCGAAAACTTGACCTCGCTGCGAGGGCAATCGACCTGACACTCGCACTAACCAGGGCAACCCATACCTCAGATTCCTGGCTTAAAGGCGCTTGGGAGGTAGGCCAATGGCTCGGCCGAGAGAAACTGAATCAGTACGAACTCGAGGAGTGTATGCAGAAAGCCAAAGGACTGGTAGTGCCCAACCACAATGGCCAAGCGTTGTTTGAAGACATTGTTCAAGGTGTCGATAACAAACCCAGGGGGCCGCTCTTCCTTGAACAGTCAGGTTCTTTAGGTCGACTAATGGCTGAAGATCCGTACTTGAGCTGGATGATCTCGACGGTAGCGTCCCTTTTCCAATTCCACAAGGACGTAGCATTCATTTCCCACGCACTTGTTTCCTTTATCCTAAGGGCTCATGATGCTCGTCAGCCGAGCCACCACAGCGAAGTGGCAGATTTTCCCACATACAGTCATGCTCAGGTTCGGATCAAAGCCGTCATTGATAAGATCGTCTTGAGCATTTGGCACAATGTCGTCAATGCGGGTTGTGATACAATCCCGCTGCCCACCGAGCTGTTGTCGGTCTGCCGCACAGGACACTACCTGGACCCCGACGACTTCAGCATTGTTGCTTTTACCCTGAATTCCCGATGCAAATCAAAGGCGATCTTACGAAGCGATTACCTGCTTCGAAACATTACACACTGGCTTCTACTACACTATGACGGAATAATTGTCGTCAATGTAGGTGGCAGAGTTATCTACGAGAAGAACTTCGGAAATCCAATGAGAGAGCTGGAAATCCATGTGAAGTCTTTCTGCCTAGACAGAGATACATGCAATAACATAGGAGGGGAGAGTTATCATATCTTACAAGACGTTGCTGGCAAATTTGAGCACTTCTTATCTGGCTACTCACCGAAGACCTCAGATCTACCTCCAGAGCCAGGAATTCGGCAACCACTTTATCAGATTCCACGTTCGTATCCAAAAGAAAGCGCTATGTGGAACATTGGCATTCAAATTCTTGTGAGATGCACCGCACAGTCAATCATGCGATGGCTACTCAGTGTCGAATTGACTATGCAGAAAGACTTTTCAGAGCTCGGGTTTTCAGCTGTTCTAGATTCAAAGAAAATCGATAACCCGAATCTCAAAATAAGTGACGTCCTCAAGAGAGTCCCTTCCATAATCAATTTAAACTGGGGAAATTCGCCTCCTTCACAACTCGTATTCACGAATATTCGGAATCCCTATGATACTCTAAGAGAAGGGCATATCAAGGGTGCGTCTATGGAAGATCATCCAAAGGACGATTTGGAAAAGATCCTCCCACATTTTCCAATCCTGCAAGATCTGTTGCGGAGGGTTAGTCCAGACTGTAATTGCCAGTCTTGTTCGATCGATCATGATAACCTCGAAAACAGCCTGCAGCATGGGTGCCTCAAGCGAGTAGCCCTTGAAGAAGCTTTGCTTCTTGTAGCACATGGTATTGCAGATGGTTTCAACGTCAAGGACGTTTCAGCTGCTGAAGGTCCCGATTTTGTTCTAAAAGGGGTCGCTGTTTTACTTTTCGAGCTTTGCTCTGAAAAGAGAGTGTGCTGGGACACTTGGTTCGGTCTTGCAGCGAGCGTATATCTGGGTTGCCCCTTCAGACTGTCCCCAGGTTACAGTCATCCGGCTTTTGGAGGCACTGCAATTGCCGCCATACAGTACGGCAACCTGGCCGCGCAGGCACCATGGCTCGATCTTTCCAAGTGCCTCAAGATTTCCAGAAGCTTCGAATTGCTAGGAGCGAGAGGGAGGCTTGGAGTGTTCACGCAGAGCAGTGACCGTGACGAAATGCAGTTTCGAAGAGTCGAAGAAAACTTTGCGATAATCGAGACTGAAAGCACAGAAGACACATCTGCGACAAACTCTCGATTTCCGAAGGAGCCATGGCCTCCAGGCTCCACATTTACGTTAGAAGATGATGAATGCGCAATTAGAAGCGACATGATCCTCATTTCCGTCTACGAAAACTACTACCGGCTTTTGTTGCGTGTGAAAACCGCTAATCACTGGCGCGTTATTGACCCTAGTGATGCGTTCAACGGTGTCATCAGAGGTATGTCTGTTAGCCAATGCGTACACGATGGAAAGAACCCCAACACTACCCTTGATCGGGCGAAAGTTTACAGTTTCGAAGAACTTCTAGGTAGGTGGCCCGACACAGTACAAAGCATAGCCTGTGAGCCCACATCTCATGGGGGTGGGCAGGAGCCCAAGGGAATGCTTCATATCACCCAAAACCTGGACACCCATTTCAAAAACAATGTTGCCATAGCGCTTTCAATTTGCACTACAGCAGTTAAGAATTATCCTTGTTTTTCTTGTCTACCATGTGCTCTCAAGCAGGCTAGGGAGATGAATAGGATGCCTCTACGTACAGGCGAAGGTGGAAACGAGATGGACCGGTACATTATCAATCTTGAACCTGTTCTCAGTGGTGAAGGGGAAACCCTCAAGCCGAGAGCTTTACCACCAGCGAATGCTGGTAGCTGAATCTGGTCCTTCCCTCTGGAAGTATAGATGCGTTGGCAGTTTCAAACAGATTTTCTCTTGAGCGTGATTATTACGAGCCCCGTGTTAGGAGCAGAGAAATATAATTCGCCAAAATCTTGTTCATTTTTATAGTTTTGCCGAGGTTGAAATATTCTATTAGTAAATAGATATTTTAAGATTGTACGGAGTGCAATAGCTCGAAACTAGAATAAGTCAATAGTCCATAGATTGCTAAAACGTAAGCTGAGGAGTCTATCTACAGCGCGGCCAGCGCTCTGATCTATGTACTCCTCCATCGAGTGCCAGGGGTGCTACTAGCTGACCTGCGCAGAGGATCCAACAGAGCATCCGCAGGGCCAGAAGCGGTAGCTTCCCTCTTGAGGAGATTGTACGTCCCCAAAGGGGCTATACCAATCTGCTGTTTCATGGTTCTTGCTCGGGGAGCAACGTGCCGTACGAATGCTTCTATCGGCGGCATAGCAGCGTAACGGCAAGAGTTCCGCGTGCCGTCGTGGATACGCCATCGGCGCTGCCATCCGAGTGCGTGGCTGGTCACGTGTATTTCCTGCGCCATGGCAGAGGAAATGCTTCATCCATCACAAGGAGTATCTCAGATACCAAATAAGATAGTGGCTAAAGAAAAATAAACGGATTGCAAGCATGAAACACTTATCCTTTAACTCATTCATGGTTCACCCTGATTTAAAGTGTTCATTGATGACTCATTAGTGCCATGGCAAAAAACCACGGAAATCAATTATAAGATTCCAAAGTATGAATCTGAAAGTAGTATGAAGTATGCGATTTCCTTGTACAACTTGATGTTTTCGTTGTCGACTAACTAGATACCATAAACAGATTCGATTCATGTCAGCATCGGTGCAGTGGTGGAGTCACTCTTTTCCTTTCATCACGCGGTAGGCGGAGCACGCTACATTACAACGGATCTTTTTTGGGTGGTGAAAAAGTCTCCTTCTCTTTTTGCCTCTCTTAATCGCTTTCGTTTGTTTCCTGCTGACTGAGTATGCCTTTTTTTTTATTTTTAGTCTTCATAGGCTGCATAACTGCGATTTGTTCCAATCTGATTCTCTTGTTGATATGGGCGGCCAAGTTGATAAGCTGCCGCAATGCAAATCGAAGACTGGTAGAAGTCGCTTTCGGTCGGTGGACCCACATTAGATCTCGAGATTGGTCCGAGACGAGCTGTGCGCATAAACGTGGTTTCTTGGTCTAAATCAAGCCATCAAAACTTGAACTTTGTATATCATGCTAGGAATATTTTCCATAGACGTACGTGACTCCTAGTCGGATTGCAATTGTCTTCGTGCCATTCAAGTAGAGGGAGTTTGAAAGGCTGATAGAATAAAGTGAGCAGTTGTAGCCGCCCCAGTTGCGACCGGAATCGGGTCTTGTTAACTCCTCAGTCCCATGCTCAGCCTCTCGTCAAGGCTTCTCGGTGTCGGCTCAGGTTGTAGCAGCAGCCCCTCAGAATGGAGGCCGTACCTACAACTAGAGGAAATATATCTTGTGTCCGACTATAGGGGTATTCGTTTCAGTAGCATTCTGACGATTTTGTACACTGGGTTCGGCTGGGCGACTTGTTGACTGATATATGAATAACTTGCATGCATGCATCCATATATTCATCCATCCATCCATTTATCCATTCATTGGTCATTCTCCAGCACCACCGAGTTGGAGTACTATTTATCTTCCACCCTCATTCTATAAACATCTTTTCTTCTTCTTATTATTTCTCTGAGAGCGATCGTAATGTTCATGTCCGTCTAGCTATCTGGCTGTGTTCATTCTTCCATTCATCCCAAGCCAACCTCGCCATGCCGAAAATGGTGGGGCAAATAAAAAATAAAAACAAGAGAAAGAATACTCGCTTCCGCTCCCTGATTCATGATCCTAGAGAATCAGAATCCAGGAAACTGGAACCCCCTTTCAAGCATATAGATGAGTCGTGAAGCCCAACCGCCCACGGTTTGATTCGTTTTGATTTGTTCCGCTGCCGCGGCGAAGCGTCAGAGTGTCAGGTTGAATTGCTGTGCACATTCTCCATCAACCAAGCATTCGCAGACATCTTGCTGCTGCACACCGATGTCTCCTTCTTGATTATGGTCAAAGATATTGTAGAAGAGTCGTGAACGTCCAAACCGCTTTGCTTATTGGATCAACCAACCCCTATAGCCCACAAGTCATGCCCGAGTGCTGTATGTGTTCTCCAAGCCACCATTTGCAAGTCCCTTGCTGCAGCTGCTGCTGGCCTCCTTCTTCTTTACTCCAACCCCTCCAATACCACCGACACCAGCACCGTTCTTTCCCTCACCCAGAGGCGTGATAACCGGACTCTTGTTCCCCCAGAGGCTGCTACTTCTCCTCGAATTATCGTCATCCATACTAAATACCATGTCTCCCTCGCCTTCTCCCTCTTTCTCCTCCATGATTCGCGTGGAGTTGATGCGCGGGCTCGAGATTGTGCGGTCGAATCGCCCTGCAATTCCTCCGCTCCCACTTGTAGTACTTGTGGGGGCAGAGACGTGTCGCATGCCTGGGGTAGAAGCTGATGGAGGCTGGAGGCGTGAGCTTGAATATATGGTGGTGTTCTCGGAGGAGTTGGTTTGGTTAGTACTGCTAAGATGGGTGCGTTGCAATTGTGAAGAGATAAGACTCATGCCGAAATCCGAGGTAGAGTCTCGAGGTGGACTGGAGAAAAAGGGAGACGTATCCCCTGCACGACCGCTCCGGGATCGAGTGCTTGAGACAGGACGGGCGGTGATCCCATCACCAAATGGCGAATTGCCGGAGGCGTGGTGGATGTGAGATTCGCGGAGTGGTGAGCCCACGTGTCCGAATCCGGTCCCAGTAGTATTGTTATGAGAGGATTCTTGTCGTTGTCTCGCGAATAATGCGCTGAATCTGCTGGGACTCGAGGCGAGCGGCGAGCCGACCTTGCTGGAGTTGCCACTAGGAATACCGAGGCCGCCCTGCGTTGCGCTCTTGATATTAGAGAATTCCTGCTCCGGTCGTGACAGGCGTCTCATCTTCTCCTGAGGAGTTAAGACGTCATCGTGTAGGTTCGTTGGCAGAAAGTCCTCTTCGAGGGGAAAGCCATCGTCCCAATCGTCATTCACTCCAGGTCTGGGCACGCTGGCAGACAATAGACGTGGGCGTTGAATACTTTGCTGCGAATGCATCTTTCGCTGACTGATCGTTTCTTCTGTGGTCACTGCTGGTGGGGAGGAGCCCAATTGAGACGAGTTGCGAAGATTTGATGGAAAAGCACTGCTGCGGAGCGCTTTCACAGCATCGAGTGGTTGGCCAGCAATTCTCTGGGATAGCGATGCTGGTGGAGATTCCATACCAAATTTGGAAGGGACTGAAGCCGCCACAGCTCCGTACCTGGCAATATGAGAAATGCCATTGCTGTCGAACGAAGCAGGGAGAGGGGCGTCAAGTGCTGTAAGACGACGTTCGACTCCTCTTATGGGTAGCTGAGATTCGTTTGTAGGTGATCCATATTTGGAGCCTGGGTTAGAACTCAGGCCAGGTTCGCCCGAAAAAGGCACATATCGGCCGTCATATTCTTGCGAATAATTGAGCTCTTCCTGTGGATATTGGTATTGACCTGCAAATGGATCCACTGGATACGGTTGTGATGAGAGAAGTGAATTTGCGAGGACTGAATCTTGGTGCTGATAGGTGGGAGGGTTCACTCTTCCGCCGATGTTCAAGGCTCCATTGTTCATGTTCATACCCATGGAATTGTTGGGTCTATTGACTCTTCGGCCATCCGGAAGTATGTGTGCGAGAGCGCATTTTGCACCAAACTTGCAATTGCCCTTTAAGCCTTTGTCAGTATTGCTCGAATGGCCATACCTATTTTCTTGTTCAACACACCTTGGCAAAGTATTTGCAGGGAGCGGTCTCAATTGTAGCATCAGTAGAATGAAGGAAAGGGCAGGCTTGTCCTGCTTGACAGGCACCTTGTTTGAAAAATTTGCAGGGAACGTGTTTGGTATCTGTGCAACACAAAACCAATCAGATCAACGCGTTGAATGTGGAAGGAGAAAGTACTTTTATTTGTTGTATTGGGAGGACTCCTTGCTAGATCAAAATGTTGTGAGCCACCCAATCCGTTTGTTCGCGCATGGCCATTTGCGAGAGACCCATGATTTTGCGCAACACCAACAGCGGGATCACCAGTGGCGCTATATGAGTTCCGTCCTCTGTACTCTCCTGACTGACGATGCGATGGTCGAGCAGCTCCCTGCAGGCGGTAAGACGGGTTTCGCTGCATAGCAGATCGATGCTAAGTTTGAACAAACACGCTTCGCAAAGGGTTGGAACGAAAGGTAAGAGAATCTGGATTTGGCTTGGGAGTCACAAGCTTAGGCGCAGGAATGAATAAAGGGAGGGCAATGGTAAAATACACTCGGTAAGAGCTGAGGCTTGACTTCTGTATGAGATGCGAGGCAGGTAGCGGAATGAAGCGTCGAAGGTGATACTCGATAATCTGGCAGTCGATTTGAAGTGATGCTGTGATAGGGCTGGGCTGATGCACGACTGGGGAAGTGCCCCACGTTCTTCTGCGCGTGGCTGCGGAAAGGCTTTTCGCGTGATTAATGAGTTTGCTCGACGATGTATCTGATCTTGGGGCGAGATCATCAAGTAAGGAAGCTGGAATCCTCCTTCAAAGATAAGGATACAGGGATAAAGAGTGAGTGAATGGTAGGGGCGGTAAGAAGAAATGGATCATGAGATTATTGCCAAATGATCATTTCTAGTACTGGTTAGTGAGTAGTCGGTGTACTGGGGAAGGGCGGATAAGTTAATTACTTCATAGTCGTTAGGTGGCTAGCCGCTTAAACGCCGGGCGTTCCAAGCCCCTCCCGCGGCTTAAAAGTTCTAGGGCCGGAAGGCTCGAAATTCTTGTAAATGGGGCGTGCACCAAGACATGTGCTACTCGTACAACTGATACTAGTGAGATCCATGTAGCGGGAATCGTAAGAGGTGAGAGTCAACCACTATCTGTACACGTTTGAGGATGATATACCAATTTGCAACATGAATGAGATCCCCTCTAGTGGATGTTGGAAACAGGTCTTATGAACATTATCACCTGCAACGCAGCTAATGATTCAATAGAGGGCAAGCGAGGTACATTTGTGGCAAGGATATCTGTACGAGCTCAGACATTTAACAGAAAGACCCGGAGGACCGAAGGAATCCTTCGTAGAACATATTCATTGCCACGTTCCTTAGTTGCGTGTCGATCGAGACAGATATTACCATTACAACGTACATGACAAGTCAGTTGACTATTCTCAAAGCTTGCTAACATGATCGTCCATCACCAGAACATGAGCAGCGCCCCAAGGCCACCAAGGCTGAAGTAAGCAATCCCAGTATCCAGGACTCTGCCCGCACCGCCAGTATACTGAGCAGGAGGAGAATATGTGGCGGTTATGTTAGATGTGACAGTCGCGTTGGAGGATGTGACAGGTGGGTAGGCTATTTCGGCTGTTGTTGTTGCGGACTCGGTAGAGATGGGATAGATTGTGTACTCTGTCGAGCTTGTTGTTGCAGAGCTCTCGACCTCTGTGTAGGTGGTCAGGCTTGTATGTTCAGTCGTCGAAGTCGAATACTCGGTCGTGGCAGAGCTGATATATTCGCTGGTAGCACTCGTGGTCTCGCTGATGGCGGCACTAGTTGCTTCCGGACCAGTAGGAGGAATGACGCTCAATGTGATAGTGGCGCCGCATTGGTCAAGGGGAGCACCGTCCGGACAGCAACCTCTGTCTGTACAGTAGTAACCCGGATCACAGTATTCTACGTCATGCAGGTCAGCTATGTCTCGATTCATCAATCCGCTTTTGGGAGCTTGAGGGTTGACCGACCTCCGTTTGAGCAGCATTTCTGTCCCTTGGTGGGGTTATAGCAGAGTGAAGGGTAAACACATTGTTCGCTTCCAGCACCGCAAGACCTCGCACACGTTACAGGTTCCGGAACTGGAACACAGACGTCACGCTTCTCGATGCCGCCCGCCATGAACGATATGCTCTGCATTGTCGTTGCAGCAAGTGCCGCAGTGGCAGAGCTGATGAGCACAATAGCTGGTGGGAAATGCATGATGGACTGCTTGGTTGAATGCAAAGAGGAGTTCAGACGTTCGAATCGGAAAAGGTTTGGCGGTCTGGAGTTTTGACTGGGAAATGATTGTTCAAAAACAGTATGAAAGACGTCCTTCATCACCAGAGCATCACTGGGCTTCTTATGTTCTCACATCCAAGTAGGAAATTGCATGTTCGTGAAGCTATTCAACCCCCTTGACCATGCATGCTCGTCCCGTGCAATTCGCTATAAAGAGGCTGAGACTCTCAAGGCATTTTATCCAATGACATAAAAGAAAAACAATAAGATGCCAGACCAACCTTTTTTGGCAGGAGATATAATGCGTATAGCTCTGTTAGATCCAATAAAATGCTGCATCTCTGAAACAGACTCTCGTATTCGCAAGGCACAGATGGCAGCCTCATGGGGTGAGTGGCCATGGTGAAATGTGCCTGTCAGATTTAGCGGCGAACATCGGGCGACAGGCTATTTTCGGACCATGGACGGATCGCGTATCGGGACACAATTTCTTTAAGCGATAGATTCTGAATGCCAAAGCCGATCTTACTATCGAGAAGGGTGAAAATGGGGTCTAGTAAACCCATTATACTCGTGTGACCTTTGTTCTCTCTTTTGCTCATGTCAGCTTTAATTAAGTTTTAAGAGCCTATGGATGATTCGCTTTTGGAGGGCGAGAGATATCCACGTCAATATCCCGAAGGTTAGATAGTTGATGTACGTAGTAGTGGATGCGTGCTCTGTAAAGAAGACAGGACGAGGACAGGAACAGGCATGGTCGTTTGTGCGAGTACGGAAGTGAGGGGGTCTAGGAATTGATCTAACGATGCAGAGATTGGCGTTAGGAAAGGTTTACCCATGCCCTCCTTTAGAGTCACTTTACGACAGTGGTCATCTGGAGTGGTGTTTCAAAAGTAGTTGACAGCCACTAAATCGTAGCTGCCGAGCTATTCACCTTGGTTCAAGTTCAGAGTGTTAGTGTACTGAAAGCCTTGAGCTTGACGGGCTTGTCTAATTGAATCTTAGGGGCGTCAGAGCTCTGAAAATCAACTCAAAGCCTATTAGAGATGTCCAAGAATCGAGGACGATCTCTATACTTTAGTGGCTGTTGCTGACTGGTCTAGGGACCGGTCCCTTAATGATGTTCGTCCGCTAGCTACACCACGCCAGTCAGAGTGGTCAACTTTTGAAACACGACTCCACAACCCACCAGTTCTTCCTGGACGTGCAAAGGTTACCTGGACTGCCAAGCAGGCATCAACGCACGATATCACCTGATTTCGTGACCAAGACGCGCCGGTGCTCGTGTTGCTCTCTCACCATGCGGGGAAGTCGGCTCAACATCTTTCCCCTGCTATCAAGAACGCGGGAGTATACGTACGTAGGGAGATGCTGAACTCGTATCCGAAGCTGGCAATATGGGTATAAAGTATGATCGAAATCCGTCGGACTGCCCTCCTCCACCTCAAGGTTGCAATCAGTTGAAGAACAACTGGGAATAAACAAATTGAGTTCATACCATCAAAAGACATACCAAGCTCAATCACTATCAAGAAGTGCAAAAGCAGCTTCGTAAATATCACAACAATTACCTGACCCAGGATGCCCACCAAGCCACCAATGATATTCATCAACCTCCCCGTCTCCTCCTTCCCAGACTCCATAACTTTCTACACAGCCCTCGGCTTCGTCCAGAACAAATCCTTCACCGAACCGGGCAATGTAGCAATGATGTCGCTCCCGCCCTTCGACCCTCCTGACAGCGGAGTTGGCATGATCAATGTCATGCTCCACACCCACGAGAAGTTCCAGGGTTTCATGCCCCCCGGCAAGCAGATCGCCGATGCTAAGAAGCGCACCGAGGTGCTGTTGTGTCTGAGCTGTGAGTCGAAGGAGGAGGTGGATGAGATGGTGGAAAAAGCGGTGAGAGCCGGTGGGAAAGGGCAGGTGTGTCCGAAGCAGAATGTGAGCGAGGCGATGTACGGAGATAGCTTTGAGGATTTGGATGGGCATGTTTGGGAGCTGGTGTGGATGAGTGAGGCCATGGTGAAGGGAGAGGAGCCGCCAACGAAGACGATGAAGGGGGAGAAAGAAGACGAGAAGAAGGATTAAGGGAAGCAGAGTATCTGTAGGTCGAGCGAGGGGCAAATAGGGAATGGAGGTAAGACTGTACTAGGGCAAGAGGGTCGTAGAGGACGTCCTGCTGGTGGTAACTCCGTAGCATGCCCCTACTACCATCGAGCGTGAGCAGATTTTTCTACAAGGTCAGATCGAATCTAGCGTGCAACATTCATAATCCGTGTCAATCAACCTACCGGGGTGAGAAATCTAAAGAGATTTTTTATACATGAAGACATTAAGCATCCTCATAGCTCAAATCATGCTCTGGCCGTTCTGCCCAGCGCAATCTGAAGAGCCACAGCAAGCACAGCTAGTGCAGCAGCTCTTAAGATACCCCGTTTTGCGCTACCACTCCCCAGGGTAAGGATATACCTGATGAACCCGAACTTTATGTTGCCCTCTCTATCAAAATTGGGTTTTGATACGCTCATTTTCGCATACTGCTCGTACTTTCCCTCGTATGGTGGATATCTCACCGCGAGCAACTTCTCCATCCATCGCGGCGTTGTGGTCACTGACCTCCTATGAACAAAGCAATCAAAAGACGCTCTTCCGCGATAAGATCCCGAGCCACTGTCGCCCACGCCACCAAACGCTAGTGTCGGTATGACACCATGGGTCCAGGCATCGTTGACGCTTGCACCGCCTGACCGTACCTCTGTTAGGATTTTCTCAACCTCGTCCTTCGACCCAAATGGATACAAACCAAGAGGGGTGGCGTGCACAGAGTTTGCAATTCTGATTGCCTCGTCTAGATTCTCAACTGGCATGATCGGTATTAGGGGGCCAAATGATTCTTCAGTAAGAAGTGAATCCGATGGATCAGAGACCTCAATCACTGTTGGCTCAATGAACCTTTGCTCTGCATCCATGGTGCCTCCTATCACAATCTTGCCGGACGTGTTGTCAAGCATCTTCTTGATGCGAGAAAATTGCTGATTGCTGGCAATACGTCCATAATCTGGTGATTCCTTGGCTCCATTCGGGAAGAAGTCAGCCATCGCCGATTTCAGCTCTGCCACCAACGTGGGAACTACGTCCTTATCAACGAGGATGTAGTTTTGACTGATGCACACTTGACCAGCATTGAAGATCTTGCCCCACAGTAGTCGTCGTGCCGCAAGATGGATATCTGCCTTCTTGGTTACGATTGCTGGATTTCGACCTCCAAGCTCTAGAGTGACCGGTGTCAAGGTCGGCGCAGCAGCTTTGGCTATTATCTTGCCCACATTGGCTGATCCTGTGAAAAAGATCTTGTCCCATTTTTCGGCGAGCAAAGCTTGAGTCTCTGGAATACCACCGTTGATCACTCTATAGCAGGATGGATCAACTGAGACAGCAAGAATCTTTTGCATGACCGCCGCACTTGCCGGAGCTTGTTCCGAAGGTTTCACGATCGCAGTATTACCGCCTGCGATGGCGCCAACCAGCGGACCGAAAGTGAGATTGATAGGGAAATTGAAGGTTCCGATGATCAGAACACAGCCCAACGGATCTTTCCGTATTCTTGGGCGCATAAAGTAGTTCGTTAAGGGGATGTCTTCGGGCTTCTCAACCTTTGCCCACTTCTCTAGATTCTTATTGACGAAGATGATATCGTTTTCGACCCATTTAATCTCTGAGAGTTGAGTCTCGTAGACGCTCTTTCCCAGGTCTTTTTTGCAGGCTTCGATGATTTCGGCTTCATGATCAACAATCCTAGCAGTTTCTGTGTCAATTGTGTGACATTCTTGTTCAAGTTATGATTAACTTACCCCCAGTAGAGCTTTCGCAGCTGCCTCAGCCTAAATTCGATAGGTTTCGTCTTCTGGGTAAAGAAGGTCGAGCGCACTTCCTCCACAATCTTGGGAATATCGTCAATGGGAGTGTTTGCGAAAGGTGGTAAGTTGGGAGCCATAATGTGTAGACTGGTTCCACAAAAGGAGACTGTATGTAAATGAAGATGCGAAATAGCTAGAGTGATTCTGCAGCCTGCGCGGGGCAAGTAGCCATTTCGGCCGAAATTGCGAACCTCGGTTCGAATAAGTACTTACCACATGACTCTGCACTATCACGACGTCCTCTATAATCGACCCAAACATTCCATATTCAACAACCTTGATACCCAGCCATCATCTACGGGTCAGCTAACAACACAACCGTACAGTAGAAGCTCCCGATTTGCGAATGCAAGTTGTAGTAACGCAGTGTAGAGACAGACCATGTCGACCAAGAACAACATAGGATGGAGTAAAGTTCTTGCTGCATGACGTACTGTGCATTGCGAAAGTATTGCGAATCCTTGGCGGATGTGCGAAGTTGCTGGCTCCCTGCGCCCTCAGACAGAAACAGTTGATAGGGGCTTAATAAATAGACAAGTTATTAGATGTTTTCTATGTCAAATATTGCCGAGCTTCATCTGGTTCTTCTGCTAAAGATAAATAGATAAATAAGATTGCAGATTCGAATTAACAAAGTTGATTCTTTTACATAGTAGAATCCTACTTTCTTTGATAGAATCTCATACGATCAAAATCTATGTCAAAAGAACCAGACGAAACACAGTATTATACTAGTAGTATTTAGAGTTTATTCAATCTCAATATGAAATATGTGGAAGACTTGTAAGGACTGTTTCTGTTTGAGGGCGCGGGGAGCCAGCAACTTGAACTCCGCACATCCGCCAAGGATTCGCAATACTTTCGCAATGCACAGTAATATCCAGAGTTCCGTGTCATCCCGGCACAGAGTCTGGATCCTAAAGGTCCTGATAGGAGGTGAGTATTCACCAACTAAATGATTGACCTCCCCCCTGAAACTCACGGAATGACATCTGAGGAGCTGTTCGTCGTGACAATTTCCTGATTCAAAACAATGGTGTTACGACACTTTAAAAAATTCACTCGAGATAATCTGGATATGCTTATTGGTCACGACTTTCATGGCGTAAACCAGTAAAATACTATGTAAACACCCCGCTGGGGGGCAGCAGGGGCCAGTAGGGAAATTATATAGAATATTCGACGGGAAAAGAGGGACCACTATGCGCTCGTCGGGCTTGTCGTGGCGATACAACACCGCACACTCTCGTTGGCTTTGATGGGCGGAAGCTTGCAAAATCGGAATTGCTGAGCAAAGGGTTGGGCAGACGCCACGAGCTAGTAGACTCCGGCACATGTTGCATTGAATATTTGGGAACTTTTTTCTTTCTCAAGCTTTTCGTCTCTCCCCACCCCGACAAAAAATGGTCTCGCAGGACGACCCTGAGAAGCAGAGCCGGTGGTCTTCTATGAGGATGTCGACCAGGGTGGCCATGTCAAGACCCTAAATTTTCCAGCAGATCGGATCCAAAGAAAAACCATCACCAATCCTGGAGAAGATTCTTGCTTTCGAGTCAAACCGAAGCTTTTTACATGCGTCCACGGCCAGATGGATCAGATCTCGAAGACGCCGCAACCTTAAACCTGTTAGAAGCGCAGTTCGTAGTAGTCGTTGGTAGTAACAGAAACAGGTTCAGATCCCCCGGTATCAGACTTGAATTCCGCAACAAAGATGACCAACCGGGTAAATGCCCACCAAGCGTAGTTGCTTACACACCATTCCATATGCAGAAGAAGATGAACGAAACGAAAGAGGACCGGGAACACCCAATTCAGCGCTGGAGCCACGGCCGGATTCCAAGCCGCAGCCCAAGCACAGCTCAATGCCGTCTAGCAACGCACCGCAACATACCAGCGAAGTTATTTCGCCCGTGGTTCCGCCGGTACAAGTGACAACGAGGAATTCGACGTGGATGACAGTGTCTGGTGGGATTTGCAGGAGAGCAAGAACCCACACCAACAGCATAGGATCCGGCCAAACTGCCTCTTCGCAGTGCTCCTGCAGCGCGAGACTGAGGCGGATTTCATTGGCGATTTTCGGCTGAACGTCGATTGCTGGGACGTGGCAGAACACAAGAGAGGAAGTAGAATTCAAGACCGGTCAGATAGTTGTCAGATGATCCCGTTAAACTTTCATCTAGGGTATCCTCCTTAGGCGGGTGTATGAAGGGATTGACCCAAATAACCTAGGAGAGTGGGCTGTGGGTAAACATTTGGCCAAAGCTGACAAAGATTCTGGGATTGGAACCCCTGGCTCCTGCATAGGTTGTTAGGAAGTGACAGAAGAGCTGTGCGAGTCTTGTGAAATATGGTATCTAACAGCCCTTACTACGTACTTTCGTATGATGGTTTCTTTAATATCATGTTGTTCAACGGCACATTATTTCAACGTTTAAAAGCCTTCCGGGGTTTCCACTCTTCATGGGTCGCATTACCACTTCTCTTTCCGCAATCGACCACAGGACATGGAGAACAGGGCTTCCCGTTCGCTCAGCCATACTTAAGCCATGTGCCGGCTAGTTAGTAGTTGGGTGGGTGACCACCAGCGAATACTGGCTGTTGATTGTTTTTTGCCCTTTCTTGATCCTATTTTCCCTTAACCCATAACAGTCCGCCGTACCAAGCAAGGCGAGACTCAAGATATATGATGGCCGAATTGAGTACGGCTTAGACTACATGGAATGAGAAAGTATACTTTATTACCATATTTTCCATGACTTGCGATGAACTGATAGCAACCAGCTCCGTGATTAAGATTCATTGAATTAGGCCTAGCATGACTTAAGTTGATCCTGGAGTACGCTGTGCCCACATTAATTTAATTGTCCAGTGTCCCATATCTAGCTGAATCTATTCTTCCACGCCAAATATCTTACCCAAAACCCGGCTCATGCCTTCCACCCGGCTGTCCCGCTGTCCCGCTGTCCCGCTGTCCCGCTGTCCCGCTGTCCCGCTGTCATAGCTCCCACCCGTTTAGGTAACAGCAAATTTCGACCTCGCACGGAGCTTGGCGCCATAATAGTAAAGCCCAAACATGCCCACCACCCCTCCGACCGCGAGACCAGCAAGGATGGAGACACCCCTCCCCACACCGAGATTGATGAACAAGGGGCGCGCGAAGATGACAGCGCCAGCGGCGAGGGCGGAGCGCCACGTATCGTTCGTGGCAAAGAGGGACGCTGCATACTGCGGGTAGCTGAGAGGCAGATACATGAAGATGCACTGGAAGAGGACGAAGCCTGACGCAGCGAAGGTAGTGATCCCGATAACGCTGGCGATCCAGTGGATGTCCGGGTTGGATGTCCAGCCGAAAATGAAGAGCCCAATGGGGATACCGAAGCTGGCGAAGACGGCGGGGACGAGACGGTGTTCTTGTGCTCGAAGACCATTCTTGACGATGTCGGGCTCCAGGTACCAGTAGACGTATGAGCAGTAGATGATGATGCCGAGAATGCATGCGACTGTGATACACACGAAGACAATGCTTGTCTCTCCGAGGTTGAAGCCGTACATGACTGGGTAGACCAGGGGGAATACTTCGAAGAAAGAGTAGTAGATGCCGTACTGTAATGCGGTGTAGATGTTCGTGAAAAGCACGGCCGGGTCTTTGATGGAAATTTCCACCGGTACCACAATGGAGTTCCAGATCACTGTTCCGATCTTCATGTTGCCTTGGTCGACTTCAGATTGAGCCTTCAACCGGCCATTACCACACTTGGCGCGGAGACGTCGAGCACGACGCAAGAGGATGTTGGAGGAGGAGGTTTCCGGCATTGCGACGAACATGAGGATGAACACAGGAGCCGACGCCCACAGCACTTCCCAGAGAGACCATCTCCAGCTGATAACAAAAGTCAGCATAACATACAAGGATTGTAGCCGTTTTGTTGCCCAAATGCATTGTTCCTCCTTATAATGCGGGTAGAACCCAAAGAGCAGCAAAGTGACACTCGGTAGTGCCGGAAAGGGGGTGGGCGGTTTTCTTACCCTTTGGCTGTGACGGCGAAAGCTGATAGAACTGGACCAAGGGCAGGAGCTTTGCTAGCTGTTAGTCAAATGACAGGCTGGGAAGATACTTGAATTACGAACCATTGAATGCTGCTGCGACCCAGAAGGTTAACGCGTAGGGTAACTTCAAGAAAGAATACTAGAGCCGCGGTCAGTAGATAGAAAAGTCTGGAGGTAGGTAGTCTTCATACCATGTCTTGCATAGTGGCTCCTCCAGTTGCCAAACACGGTGACCCCATAAATCCGACGAGGAAACGAAGAACAAGTAATCCTGCATAGTTCTCGACGAGTGCCAAGGGCACACATAGGATAACGAAAAGTGCGAATGACACGATGTACGGCACGTTCCTACCAAAAAGGGGAATCTCCGACAACGGACTAAAGCGTTCGTCAGTGGAGTAGTGTGAGTGTTGGGAATGGACCAGGTGTACCTGAAGAGAAGAGGGCCAATGCCGTCTGCAGAAAATATCAGTTCATGCCCTAGAACCTCGAATGAGGGCAGAACTTACATCCAATAACATACATTGACAATCCCAGCGAGGCTTTCTCGTATCCGACTCCGAAGGCTTCCATCACACCACTGCAACAGGTAAGTGCGTACTCACCATTGTATGGAGAGACTCAGGAGATCATACTATTGGCTCGGAACGTAAATAGAAGACGCAGCATACACGACGAACGTGTAAAGACTTGAACAATCAGCCCAGCTCTCAACAAATGCGGGATAGCCTTCAACGCTCACAAAATCTGGGTTCCAACGAATAGTTTCTTTTTGCTTGACCAGTTCTGTGGATTCGCTGGATCATCTGTGGTATACCAATCCACTAGAATATCTCCGTCCTCATTCCTCTGCGCGACGATGGGCATGTGAAGTTCTTTCAGAGACTGTGCTTCCCGTTCAATATCGAATCGTTCCCGAGTGTAAGCGCGCGTCATTTCTCTTGTCTTTGTACGTGTCAACGCCGGCTGCGCGCCAATGCTAGATCTGATAGGGACATGAGTCGTCTGAGTGTTCATTTTCTTAATATCGTGTTCAGTGACAATGGACTCGACGGTAACATTGGTTTTTTGGGTCTGGAGGGCCTGAAGGTCTGGCCGATCGTGAGCATCCTCGGTCAGCGCCGATGCTTTTTGCTCTCTAGCAACAGCATCTCCAGCTTCCTTCCCGTATGCAGCCTCGTTCGGGTCAAGGTCAGCTTTGTCTTCCACGGTACTCGACAGCGAGTCGACACGTTCGGCATTGCTATAGCATTTGGGGCATTGAAAATCTGCTTCTTCCTCAGGGTATTTCAGGTACTTGTTGCCAGTCAACCAGCGGATGAGCTGTCCAAGGGGAGCTTCACGAATAACATCCGCCATGTCTGATTGAGATACCAAATTTTCTTGAAGCGAAGCAAAGGGACATGGGGGAAGTGCTTAAACTTATAGGTCACAGCAACATAACGAGAGCTTTCCATCGGGTCCGACAGGCTAATGCACACCAACCACCCACCTTGAGCCAAGTACGTGGAACCGACGGGAATCTGCTTTGAAATAAAGACAGGTCCATGACTCCTACCTCGCGTCTCAAGATTCATGCATTCTTGGTGAACACCAAGCATCTAGATAAGGTTCTTCGTACGTTGCACAAACCTGATAAGATCTTGAAAGGACACCAGTAGTAGACTTTTACGGGATTAGGTTTCTGCCTGTAGCAGTTATTGGATGGCTGCTCGCGAGTTGTACGAGCCAAGTGTGAATCATAGGAGATATGGGGGTTGAAATGGGTCTAGCTGCGAGGCAGGCGTGGAAATGCAAGACAGCTATTCGTCTGGCTTTGTTTGTAGTCTCGGTGGCGGGCATGTTGATATGTCAGCACCACAGATGATCCCAGAGATCTATCCCGTGTGGGGTTGCTGATAAATTATTGCTGTATCCCAAGCCTGCTTGGATTGCTCATCCGTCTGAAGGGTGAGGCCAAGTAGACAGATCATGAATGATGAGGCCCAAGTAGACAGGTCAAGCACGACTTTCCGTGCCGTTGATTCGCAATCGCATCCATGAGATTGCAAAAGCGGCATCTTCTCGCAGAATGAGCCCGGACCACCGAAGCAGACCCTGGCCTGAAGCCAATACTCATCTAACTAGGTAGGGTGTCCATTGCAAGAGCAAAGAATTGACAACTACGGGCGCTGAAGACGACTTGCGCTGCTTGAAGCCGCTCATGAAACCTCTCAGACAGGTAGATGCTACAAATTGATATGGTCACACACTCCTACATGATTGCATTATGACTTCACGAACGACGGAACGCAGCCCAAGCTGCCGGCAAGCAAATTGCCGGCTATATGGAACCGGCTAGGCGGATGGAAGTGGGTTGAAAATGCCCACCAGAATACTTAACATATGGGAGTTGAAAAGCAAGGACTTTATGACCTTTCACAGCCAGCACCTCTCACCATGGCCAACAATTTCACACTATGAACCTTAAACGCATACTCCACAGGTCCCAATCCTTACAAGATCGCCATCGCCCTTGAGTACCTCTCACTCGCCTACGAAGCACGACTCTGGGACTTCGGCGACGACCCTCGGAAAGGAGTCAAAGGAAAAGCCTTCGTTTCCATCAACGAGAATGGCCGAGTCCCCCGCTCTCTAGGATCCCAACACCGGAGGGGTGTCATAGGAATCCGGCGCCGTGATGAACCACCTCCTTTGCACCTACAACACAAGATAATGTCTTGGCCCCGCGGCTCATCAGAACAAGCGCGTGTCAACTTTGAGAAGTGGATCCTCTTCCGAAGAACGAGGACGCGCTGAAGCGGTATACTGCTGAGAGCTTGCGACACTTTGATGTTCTGGGAGGGCAGTTGGGCAAAGGCTGGGAGTGGTTTTATCCTACCTGCTGGATTCAGTGCTGTGGACGTGCATTTCTATCCCTGGGTGAGCCGGTATGGATACGCAGGTTTGAGTTTGGAGAAATATCCATTGATAAAGAGGCCAGGGAGATACAAGGCGGTCGAGGCACACGTACACCCACCATCTCACCTACTTCCAATACCTAAGCCAAGAAAAGAATCGCACCATCCACTCAACCCCACCGCTTCATCATCTGTTCCTGCCACAGACTTCGTGCTGACGCATTACAGAAACATGGAAAACGACGCTTTAGATGTCAGAGATATACGCCATACAGCTTCTCGCAAGAACGAAGGTGGCATGGTATATAACTCACCCGAACAGGGCAAGGTAGGGTAAGGATAGGGGGGTTGGCTTGTATCGGGATTCGATGTGTCAGGAGCAGTACCAGTGCCCAGTCACAACAACAATAAGAGCCAAAAAAGGACTGGAGTCCAGCAGGCCTCGGCTGGCCTTCTCGCAGCACGCATGACATGATTTGTTTCGTATCAGCTGTATATAAAGCTCAAGGGGATGGACAGAGTGTTAGAGAGGCACAAGAAAAACACAAGGCAAATGCATGCACTCATGTGAGTGAAATCGTCTAGGTAGGGTATCTCAAGACCACAATACACTCCACTCATCTGCATATACACACATACACGCAGCCACCCTTCCTGTAACTATCATCCCTCTCTGCCCAGCCATTCCCCCCTTTTCTCGCTCTTGCTTTTCAACCCCATTTCTCCATTCAATCACTCACTCAATCAATCAAACATCACCACCAATCCACGCGACCACGCCACCCGCCTAACGTAGTACATAGGACGTTTTAATCTGGGATCCCTCCATACTGCGCGTCCGCCCACCTCTCCAACTCCAGCTCCAGCTCCAGCTCCAGCTCAGCTCCAGCTCCAGCTCTGATTCCATGTACCGCATACCATGAAAGGCGAGTATGCACTCTGTGATATGTACCCAAGATGCAGACAAAAGATGTAGATGTGAATAAACACGATGCGCTCAGAACGTAGGCTCGCCTGTAAGCAGGGGAGATGCAAGGTCAAGAGAAGAGACAACAAGAAAAGGTTTGAAAGAACAAACATCACCATCACCCGCTCACTGGAAACGGCAAAGAAGAACTATGGGTCGATGAGGATGGAGGGATACTTCCTCCTCTTCTGGTGTTCGGGGATGAAATTACAGTGCTGCTGCTGTGCCTTGTTCTTCGATCTCCTTTGCCTTTTCCTTCTCCGGCTCCGGTTCCTGCTCTTTCACGCTCTCAGCGTTGGCGTTGGCGCTGACTCGCTCCTCTTCTTCCCTCATTCCGCCACCGCCATCGCCATCTTTCTTTCCGGCTGTGTGCAGATCATCATGCTGCTGCTCCTTGCGAGCTTCAGATTCTGCATCCTTCTTCACCGCAGCAGCGCCATGATGTTCATGTCCGTGTTGGTCCTTTTCTGCGCTACCTTGGTCACCTCTAGTGCCCTCTCCTTCATCGCCACCACTCCCGCCTCCAAGTTCCACCATCGTATTTGTAGGATTAGAAGCCGGGGCCTGAGCCTGCACACCAGCTACAGCTCCAGCTCCAGCACCACCGCCACCCTTCGCCCCTACTCCTGCCCCTGCCCCGCCCTCTGGTGCCATCTTCGTCAGCCTCTCCTTCTCCCTCCGTACCGCCTCCCACCCCACAAATCCAGGATTCCTGAACCGCTCGTTCTCCAGGATATGCCTAAAATAATGCAAAAAAGTCCTCTCATCCTGCGTCTCTCCGCCAACCAAGGAGCTCCCATTAGCACCCTCGAAAACTCTTTTGCGGACCGAGGCCAGCGTGGCGCGGATGCGGGGGAGGTCGGTCGGGTTCTCCACGCCTTCGAGGAGGGAGGATTCAAAGGTTGAGATTACGGAGAGACCGGTAGGCAGGAATGGCTGGTAGGGACTTACTCCTGGTGGTGGGGGCGGTAGAGCTGGCTGGGAGTGCGTTTTTGGGGGTTGAGTTGGTGTTTGATATGGGGCCGTCGGAGGTGGAGGGTGTAGAATAGGATTTGTAGGGCGAGGAGGTTGTTGATGCAAGGAGTTGCTGTAGGCTTCTGGTCGAGCTTGATTTGCGGTTGGAGGAGTCGGGTATGCGGCTGGATGAGCTGGATAAGTGGTCGCGCTGGCAGTGATTGGTAATGACTGAGTGCCTGGTGTTACTTTTGTCGTAGTTGTTGGGTCTGAGATTTGCTGAGCTGGCGGACCTGAAGTGGCATATTGAGGTAGAGACGCCACTGCACCAGATGAATAAGCACCTGCAGTTGCTGGAGGATATGTCATGGTGTAAGCCATGCTACTTTGTGGCACAGTGGTTGGTACCAGATGCCCATACATGCCGTGACCCGGCGGTGGTTGACGGCTTTGCGGGTAGGTATATGGTCCAGGCGGTGGAGGCTGCGGTTGCGGTGGATATCTTGGTTGCGGGGGTGCCGACATTTTCTGAGCTGCTGGCGGAGATCGAGCTCGTTTCTTCTTGTGTTGTTCGATGTCTACTCCTGGCTTGGCTCGATACGAGTACCCTTTGCCAACTCGGTCAACCTTTTCAATGATCTTTAACTTGTCTTCGTTGACATTGTGACGAACGCTGCTTTCCCAGCCTTTTGGGTCTTTGTATCGGTAGAGGAAATGCGGCCATTTCATCTTCAGTCCTCGATAGATGCCCTTGAGATCAAGCGGTTTGGGTGATTCTTTCAACAAGTCGTAGATGAGTATGCTGTAGTTATGCGGTGGGCGTAAAAGGTCCTTTTCGGACAAGTCTTCCAGTTTCGGATATTCTGGCGATTCTGAACGGTTGACTCGAGCTCTCTTTGTGGGAGGGGCGTCATCCGCAATACCCTCACTCTCTTCCTCAAGCTTAGGTGTGACATCGTCGGGATCTTGGGTAGCTGGCTTTCGTTTGGTATATTTTCTTTTGGCAGGCTTTGAGTCTTCTACCTCAGGAACCGCTTTGGCCGTAGTTCGACCAGCTCTGCCTCGGTTAGAAGGCTCGGGTGTGACACCTCCATTGGCTGCTTTTGCTGCTGCCTCCCGATCAGCTCTCTCTTTGGCTGTTCTCTCTCGCTTTGACATGATGCCATCCTTGGGAGGACGGCCAGGACCTCTCCTCTTTGGCTTTCCGTCAGGTCCCAGGACTGGCGGGACCGGCGGCGGAGAAGTCCTGTTGAAGTTCCTGATCTTCACTTTCAGAGGAGTCCTGCCACTAGTGTTGAGAGCCACAGCATCTTCGACACCGGAAGTTGCAGAAGAGGACTCTGCGTTCTGATTTGGACTGTCATCTTCGACTTGGTCGGATTCATCAGACGATTCAATGGAGTTGTGTACAGGAAGCTTGAACTGAAATTTGATGCCCTTGATCTGAATGGACACATCCTCACGTAGAGGAACGATTGCATCCTTGGGATAATGCTCTTCGTTCACAAAGGCACCGTTAACTCCTTTGATGTGGATCTTGAAACAGTCATCCTCCCAGAAAATCTTGGCATGTCTTCGCGACACTGATCGATGGTTGGCAACATCCTGCTCGAGATCGTCTTTGACAGGCGCATGATGGATGGGAAGAAGAAATCCCTCTTCTTGCTCGGGGAAATGCTCTGATGTAAGAGGAGCTGGAATTTCTTCGATTTCACGCTCGTACTCTTCTATTGGATATGCTTGATAGTTAAAATGTGGTAAAGGAGGTTGGGTATAGAGATCTTTCGGATTGACGATTGAAGATGCTGAGTGGTTCGACGAATGTGGCCCATCAGCCTCCTGCCTTTGTCGCTCTTCGTGCGCCTCTTGCGCCTCCCCTTCAACGTCATCCACACCATAAAAACCTCCTCGATCGCTGACAACGCTTCCCTTGACCTGACTGCCACCATCCCGTTTGTTCTGGCTGGAGGGGTGTGAGTTCCCAGAACTTGAACCTTCACCTTTCTGCTGTCGCTGTTGTTCCGCAAGCCTCGCCTTCGCAGCTCTGTAGGCCCGAGCATCTCTACCCAGTTCAAGAGAGTGCGTGGTGATATAGAATGGGCCATCATCAAATTCAAGCTTCGCATATGCCGCTATCTGTCCGGTATCCTGAGCATTCTGTACATTGAGTGGCAGCTCCTCTTCCACCGTTTCCGCCATCTCTCCCTCGAGTAGGCTTGCATGCTGTGGGTCGGCAAACGTTGACAGGAGCAAGTCCTCCTGTGGTTGGGATACATCTGCCATACTGGCTGTAAGTCCATCTAGGGGCAAGACCGCTAGTGAGTCGTCGAGAGCGTGTGCGCCGGGAAAGGTGAAGCCGGTAAAGGTAGGCACAGACATTCCTGGAGATTGTGGCTCCAGGGGCGAGACGGAAGGTCTTTGGAGGTCTGGATCGTGTAGGAGCTTTTCTGGCACTTCTGAAGAAGCGTGTGCAGTCCCATCTTTAGTGAGATGCGACTGCGCGACGTTTGTACGGAGCGCATCCAGAAGGTTGCCCACTGCTCGCTGTGTTTGCTCGAAGGTGGTTTGATCGTGCGGATGAGTAGTCTGGGTATCTGGATTATTCGTGTTCTTGTGCGATAGAAAGGTGGAGGTTTTATGTGATTGTTCGTGTAGGGAATGCTGTTGATCATAACTTATTTCCAGAGCCGAGGGCGAGTCCAGGCTTTTTGACGGCGCGGGCGACCGTGTACCTGTTCGCCTGGACAGATCATGGCCCACCATTGGCGCCGCAAGAACTTGCGACGACATGGAGGGTGGGGGTGGAGGTGGAGGTGGAGGTAGTAAAAGCGGAAAGGGGAAAGACTAAATAAAATTGACGGCGGTGAAGGGACAGAATTGGACGAGATGGAGAAGTTCCACTGCACTGCATGAGGCATGAAGCATGCAGCAAATGCCAAGATTTCGCGATCGGCAGTCGCTGCTATGTGTAATACTACGATGTGTAGTACTGCAGTACAGAGTACTGCGTGTTGTGCTACATACTTTAAGTACATACTTTAAGTACATACATACTCCGTACTACTTGGTAAATTGTCATTCGCCCTAATCTCTCCATTCCATGCGCCAATGAATCATTGCCTCCTGCGAGTAGGCCCGCAGCTACTCCAGTAGACTCACATTCTTCGCAGCACATGGCGATGAGTCATGTGAGGTGGGATTGTGGCCAATATCTTGTCCTCACAGCTAAACTAACTAGGGCTATCCCGGACCGCCCACATGTGCTTGGGAGAGACACCTTACTACCCGTAGAGCGCAGTGCAACCTTTTTGCAAGAGGTCGCCACCTTTATTGTTAAAGCACAGGCTTCGTCAAGGCCCAAAGGAAATGGCTCCCAGATCCAAACCGAAGTCGAAGCACTCCAAATCTCAGAGCGCTGACCCATCCTCGCTAAAAACTTTGGCTAAGACACCACAACGTCCTAATTGGCCGACCTTGACTCCTTTGGTCCCTACCCTTGATCTCACCGTGACAACCCTCCTCCGTAATCAAATCCTTTTAATCCCCAACTTCTTCACCACAACCCTTTGCAGAACCTACACGACCTTCCTCTCCACCCTCCCCTTAGCTACCACCCCCGGCAAACCCAAGCGCGGCGAAGCCGTTCGCGTCAATGACCGCTTCCAGGTCCACGACCCGACTTTCGCTCAAATGCTTTGGACGCAAACCAGCCTCCAGGAACTCGTCACGCATTTCGAAAGTCCCAGTATCTGGGGTGGTGAAGTTCTGGGCCTGAATCCCAACATCCGGGTGTACCGCTACCGACCAGGGCAGTTCTTCGACAAGCACTATGACGAGAGCAATCAGCTCAACGTAGGGGAGCCGTCGATCGGCGCCAAGACGACTTGGACGCTGTTAATTTATCTGTCGAGGTGTGAAGGTGGGCAGACAGTGTTCTATCCAGAAGGGCCAAAGAACGGTCCGATACCAGAGCCCATCGTAGCAGAAGTCGAGCCTGGTCTGGCCTTGTTGCACCGGCATGGAGATGATTGTTTATTGCACGAGGGAAGAGAGGTAAAGGGAGGAGAGAAGTGGGTTTTGAGGAGTGATTTAGTGGTCAAGCGATGAAACGATGAAATCTTATGGATATAGGATGGCCCAACAAATTGGTCGCAATTTTTGGCTTGTATAACACGCATGAAAAAGTAAGAAGTTATGCATCTACAACCTGCCAGGACTAGACCTGTTATTGCTTTGGCCGCTGAAGCCGCTGTCGAAGTAATGCAAGGACGAGCATGCTGTTCGAATGACACTGCAAAAATTGTAAAGATCGACGAGTAACAAATGGGACATTCGAGAAAGAGAAGAGAGATCTGACGCGGCACAACGCTTTGGCGATTCGCAGAGCACAAGAGGCAGTCGCCAAATGTGCTTGATATGGACAATCGTTGCCGCAACATCTGCTCTGGTTCTATTCGCGCAATGGCGACGACTCTTCGTGACTGCATTCAGGCAATCTGAGGGACAAAATACCAATATCCTTGCTTCATCATCCAGAAGCATCTCATTACATAAAACAGAAGGGATATCAAAATTCTGAAAGCACTTGCAAGTGGTATAGAACACGAGATGAGCAGCACATGCTAGCAAGAACATTGTTCCGAGCACAACATGACGTGCAGTACCCGAGACCAATTAATCGGTGGTAGGTGATTCGAGAAAGTAGGAAGGCCTAACCGGGCTTCGTGATCAATTCTTGAGCTTATCCCTCAGTTTGCCAAAGAAACTCAGTCTTTTCTTCTTCTTGTCTTTTGCCCCGTTCGCATCTGCTGGAGACGATGCTGCGGACGACGCTGGGGTGGTTGTTTTCTGAGGCGTGCTGACAGTGCTGGTCTTCGATTCACCCACACCAGTAGTGACTATTGGTGATGATGGTTGGGGAGCTACGGCATCTGAATCTCTACCCATGGGGCTGATATCTCGCGACGGGGCTTGATCCTTTCCGTTTGCGTTTTCGGCTTCCTTCACCGGTTCGAGTGCCTTCGAATCAACCGGAGCGGTTGATGGAGCGGTGGCAGAGGTAGCGGCAGTAATCGTGGGTGCTGGTACACCAGCAGCATCGGTAGACTTCACCTCTTGGAGAAGCTCACTCTCGACCTCTTTCTTCTCCCGTACTGCTTCCGCCGATGCCGCCGCCTCGGGTGACTCGTGGGCTTGCGATAATGACTCTTTGACAACTTCTGGCACATCTGGAGCAGGACCGCTTACCGTTGCCGATGGTGCTTCATCTTCGATAACGGTGGTTTGGGACCTTGGCTCGAGCGGCACTTGGCCAGCTAGTGCAGCAGCGGTTGTGCCTGGGCCAGAGGATTGGATAAAGGGTCCAGGGTTGTTAGTCTTGTCATCAACAACGGTGGCTTTGGATTTTGGTTCAAGGGGCACTTGACCAGCTAGTTCGGCACCGGTTGTGCCTGGCCCAGAGGATTGGACAAAGGGACCCGTGTCAGCAGCTGAAAGGGTGGGGTCGTCAATGACAGTGGCATTGGACTTTGGTTCAATAGGCACTTCTGCGGCCAGTGCGGCAGTCGTTGTACCTGGGCCAGAGGACTGAATAAAAGCATCAGCACCAGCAATGTCGTCTTCAACAACTGCGGCCCTGGACTTCGGCTCAAGCGGCACTTGTCCAGCTAGAGCAGCCGTGGTTGTATCAGGACCGGCGGACTGAATGAAGGGTCCAGCGTCAGTGCTTGATGCTATGTCGTCTTCAACAACTGCGGCCCTGGACTTCGGCTCAAGCGGCACTTGTCCAGCTAGAGCAGCAGTAGTTGTGCCAGGGCCAGAGGATTGAATCAAAGGACCAGTGCCAAGTGTATCCTCTACCCCACCTGACATCGGTAGTGATGATTCCGGAATCATGTCATTGCTTTTCTCTGGGACAGAAAAAGCAGAATCGTTGGCCTCAGCAGGGACTTCACCAGTGCCTCCAATCGGCATTGCTGCGCTTCCTGCTTTGTCGTAGTCTTCTTTTGACGTGGTTGCGGTTGCGTATATGGACTGCGGCAGAAGGCTCTTATGTTCCTGCACCGATTCTCCGGCTGGAACGGAGACAGGGTTGCCAATACCCGCAGATGCTGGGATCGGGTCGATGCCATATGACTTCTCTTCTGGGAAAGAAGAGCTTGCATCCTTGTCGTAATCGTTCTTCGAGGTCGTTACCTGAGAATCAACGGTATTGCCGGTGATTTCTTCATGCTGGGGTGGCTTCTCACCGGCTGGTAGTGAGATGGGGTTCCCAGCACCTGATGACGGTGGAATCGGGTTGACGCTAAATAATTTTTCCTCCGGCAGGGCGGAGCTCGCATCCTTTTCGTAGTCCTCTTCCAATGTAGTTACCTTCGAGTCAACCTTATTGCCGGTGATGTCTTCGTGCTGGGGTGGCTTCTCACCGGCTGGTAGTGAGATTGGGTTCCCAGCACCTGATGACGGTGGAATCGGGTTGACGCTAAATAATTTTTCCTCCGGCAGGGCGGAGCTCGCATCCTTCTCATAGTCCTCTTCCGATGTAGTTACCTTCGAGTCAACCTTATTGCCAGTGGCTTCCTCATGGTCTGGCACTTTCTCGCCTGCCGGTATCGAGACGGGATTGCCTGGCCCCGAGGACGCTGGGATTGGATTGACAGAAAACGAATCAAGCTCATTGGATGGTGTCTCGGGGAAAGCACCAGGTGCCAAAATCTTCACGTCCTCCTCAACTGCGGGTACTGGCTTTCCTGTTTCCTTCGGCACTTGTCCGGCGAGTTTCGTACTGGTGCTGTCAGGATGCGCGCTTGACAGGAATGCGGCTCCAGCTACGCCTGTAGCTACTCTTTCACCAGCATGCGTTCCGTGCTTCTTGATATCTTCAGGCTTCAAGATATTGTTGATGTTGTGGTGGCCATCGTCTTCTTGAGGGGCCGTGGGGTCTGTGACCCAGTCTCCATCGACGACGAACTAGACAAAGAGCCAGGATCAGCAAAGAACCACTCAAAGCTTAGGTATGGAATAAAAGTAGAATGGTGCCCATGTCTTTTCCGGCTATGTCCGAGATATGGAATGTGCTCCTAACCTACCTTGTATAAGATCTTTACGCTGGCATCTGGAAGCTGAACTTCTTTCTCAAATGTAGCGCCCACTTTGTTCAGCTTTTCGGTCTGCCCCCAGTCATCAAATGTTCCGGTGACGTAGACTTCGTTGGCTTCAGGATGGGGCCTGAAAAGGTAGCATGTCAGGACAGAGTACGTTGTATAGCTTGAACGGCTCAAACTCTCTAATGTGATGACAGGTCTTGAGGATACCAAGGTCTTACCATTTAAACACAAAGGTACCCATCCTGGGTGAGTGTGCTGCCTGGATATATTGGAATGACTGCCTAGCGTCTCCTTTCTCTGAAGCTGAACTGCTCACTAGAGGAGTCTGTGGAGATCCAAGACTAGAATGACAGACGAGGGGTTTGTATCGTAGGAGCGCCGCCGCCGATTTCTTGATGCGCTAATCGCTAATGGTGATGGAAGAAAGAGGGTGTGTGAGTGCTGGCGACGCACTGCGGAACCGTACCTGTGATTGGGCCGTTCGATGATACTGCGCAGTAAGGGCGATCTTGAGGGATTAAATAAATGCAGACAATCAAGAGATATGTCGTACGGGATTAAGCTGTGAGACGACAAAAAGGGTTTGTTCGAAGCAATGGACCAGTGGGTCTACGTAGTAACTTAGTTTTGGAGATTGAGGTGGGCTGGGACAGCTCTAATTTAACTAGGCAACGTCAGTCAACCTTAGCGAAGTTGACCTTGATAACCAGTGCCACTAACTACTATTTAAGAGAAGAGAAAACAGTCATTGTAACATCTTTGGTCTTTTATCAGAACTCCAATGCTTGGTAGCTTGTATCTTGATTAGGCCAAGTTAGATCTCTCAGGGGCTTTTGACATCATGTCATTGTCGTGTTCCTGGTGGCCACTGGTTATGGTTCGTGGGAGAACGGGTTTGGCGCAGTTAATGACCAATACGGAGTGTATGCCGGTCAAAGGGCACGCTTGTGTCAAAGCTAAGTTCACATCGAAGCTGCTATGTTCAGCTATACATCCATTTCTTGATGGTGAAGATATCTCTGCCTGTACCGAATACTTTCGACTAAGCGAATGGAGACTGGAGCTGCCAAAGACACACACAGAGATAGATTACCAAGAACAGAGGTGATATAGAAAGCTATGGGAAGATTCCTCCCTCGACATTGGGATCCATCGGAGAGCCAGCTTCTTATTTCTTATACTTCTAAGTCATGGTATCTTCGAAAGAGGCCTGGATGAAATAGCCTCTCGTCAGAGAAGATGAAAGAAATACTTGGTAAGATGTACTATACAACTGCCTGGTCGGCTCGGAGCTCATTGTCAGTGCACTAAGAGCGGATTCTGTTCCTGGGGAGAGACTTAGATGCAATATCCTAGGACAAGATAATATTCATAGATTAGCTAATGACAACAGCCAAAGCCGATCATCAAGGGCCCAAGCATCATCTCTTGCATCTTCTAGAAGATGGTTCTGGTGTAAGGAACTGAGAGAGTGACCTGCCGTACCCGCCTCCAAGTGTCTGACGTAGCCTGGAGGCTAGCCTGGAGGGCAGTTCATGCCCTGCACCAGTTAGGTCCTTCGGTCACTCTAGAAGTCTTGACTGTCAGCAAACTGCTTTGGGCCGCAGGGCCTCCGGGACTGCTTTCAAACCCTTCCCCCCGCTCCAAAACTCCCAAACACCAACCACAACCTATTCCAGCCAATCAGAGCTACCTCTAGCACAGACAACTCCGCTTTTATAGCTTCACCTTGGGTCAGATCTGTTGCCCTCTCTACCACGAACAGTCTTCTTGTTCAGTCTTTCTAATCTTTCCTCAGACCTTGTAAGATCACAGAAACGACACACTAAGCTTAAGAGGCTTGGGCCTACTGGCCAAGCTACAGCTGCCTGCAGCAGAGCATTTCCTTCCTCCACTCAATGTTCTACCCACCTACTTGATCATTCCTCCAGCTTCGTCTCCATCCGTCCAAGCCGCAGATCAACCTGTCACAACCCCAATTGAGAGGCTAAAGAAGGCGCAGCAAGCCCCGCTTTGAGCTGTCTCCCTTACTCCAACAGCCCATCAAGTAGCTAGTTAACGTGAGCAACACAGACCACCCTACCTTAGCTCCATCGAAACCTCCAACCCCACTTCACCCATGTCTCTCCCTGTCTCATACCAAAACGAAATCAACGCCCTGAACCGCCAGATCCTCCGAGAAGAGCCTGAAGATATCCTCCAATTTTGTGCCAATTTCTTCAATCGTCGACTTGAGTCTCAGCGAGCTGAGTTCCTCCTCGCACAAGATCATTCGCGTACACAAGGTGGAAAGATGGCTGCAAGTGCTTTTCCCGGCACCAATCCCTTTGGCCAGAACAACAGCTTCAGCTCAAACAGAGGTGTTCAAAGCATCGAGGAAGAAGACGAGGAGAACGATCATGTAGGCTCACCTACTGATGCAACTTTCAAGACTGCTCAGTCCGCTCAACCCGGCACTGGCTCCTCCCCTTTCACCAATTCGTCACCCTTCGGGGCTGCAACTGGTGGAGGAACCTCGATGTTCAGCGGGCCATTTGGTGGTGGAGACTTGAATGGCAACGTTCCGGACGAATCCGCCTCTGGCCCTCCGTCCTCTTTTCCTGGCCGCGCAGGCGGCAATGACTCGCTTCCTGTAAACTATGCAACCGGTCGTCGTGTTTCGGTATCGGCCGAGTCTATGAATCCCAATGCCGATTCTGGTGACTGGAAACCACCCTCGCATCCCAAAACAGAAGAACAGATTCAGAGACTAAAGACCGCCGTTTCTAGCAACTTCCTTTTCTCCTCCCTTGACGACGACTCGTTCCAAACCATTCTCAACGCTTTACAAGAAAAACCCATTCCTGCCGCTAACATCAAGATCATCTCACAAGGTGACTCGGGCGACTTTTTCTACGTCGTCGAGAAAGGAGAGTTCGATGTTTACATCCACCCTTCCGGCTCCATCCAACCAGGCCCAGACGGAATGGGCAAGAAAGTCGCGACTATCGGACCCAGCGGTGGTTTCGGTGAGCTGGCTCTGATGTACGACGCTCCCCGCGCCGCAACCGTCGTCTCCGCTTCCAAAGGGGGCCTTCTGTGGCAACTCGACCGCACCACCTTCCGTCGCATCTTGATGGATTCTGCCTTCCAGCGACGTAAGATGTACGAAGGCTTCCTCGAAGAAGTGCCGCTCCTCTCAACGCTCAAAGCCTCCGAACGCGCTAAAATTGCCGACGCCCTTGGCCCCTCAAAATACCCTGCTGGAACCTACATCATCCACGAAGGAGATCCGGGAGACGCATTCTACCTCCTCGAGAGCGGCGAGGCAGAAGCATACAAGGCCGGTGTTGAGAAACCGGTCAAGCATTATCAGCGAGGTGCATATTTCGGAGAATTGGCACTCCTGGATGATAAGCCGAGACAGGCGAGTGTGGTGGCAAAGACGGAGGTCAAGTTGGCGAAATTGGATCGTGCGGGATTCAAGAGGCTGCTTGGGCCAGTGGAGGGCATGATGAGGAGAGAGCAGTATGCTAATACTGAGGATGTGGATCCGTTGAGCAGGCTGAAGACGGTTACCTAGGTATAAGAAAGGGGAGAAGTGGGTAGAAGGCAGGGCGGCTTTGCTGATTCAGCGCGATTTGTACTCGGAATGGTATGCGGCATGCTTGAGCGACAACCAGGGGAATTGCGCGTGATGGGCAATGTGGGTGAAGTGTTACAGACTCGGTGGAATTGATCCTGCAGTCTTTAACCAGGGCACGAGGACAACGACCTGAGTCAAGTTGAGCTGAATTGACGGGCGTGCGCATACCCACTATCACGGCAGGCAGGAAAGACTGGGGCACATCGCTATCTGCGAACTACTAGATCTCCTACAACCCAAGGCTGGGATCGATCCAGATGGGTTCTAGTTCTAACTACAGCACTCATAGTCCCGGCAGCATGGGAAATGGGTGGGGATATGACTTTTTTCCCCTCTACATCCAACACCCGTACCCGCTTAAGTCGCAAGACCCCTTTTTTCTCCCCCCTGATCCCCCGCCTTCTCATCGGACCATGTCCGTGGTATTTTCACCGGCACCACGTGACTGACTGAGTGACTGAGCGTTGTCCATCTGTCTGTGATACTGCTGATGTGACGCTTCTGCCACCAAGGGAACTAGCTAACCGCATACTATGCTAAAGTGGTCTTCTCCTATTCTATCCTATCATTGATTGATTGATTGATCGATCGATCGATTGATTGACTGACTGACTGATTGTTTGCTATGACCCCTCAAAGCCATGGCAATGACTAGTTACGGAACGTTAGCTGGCCAAATCAACTTACGGTAACGTAATGGTCGGACAGACTCGTTCAAGGAAGGGAGAAAAAACATCGGGCGTCTCTATGGAACAGACCCTTTTACACAGACATACACGCGTACATGTACATGTATATAAATATATATAAACATAACCAGATTGCTCTCGATCACGACGGGGATACATATCTATCTATATCCCCACCACCGGCCCCTCAGCGGCCCGGTATCAAGGACAGGACAACAGGATCTGCATCCAACCAACTGTGTAACCCCCTCGCCATCTCCATGAACATGTAGCATTTGCCAGAGGGTCCTGTCGTAGCTTCGCTCGTGGGCCTTAGCTTTCTTTCAGCTGCTCCACGACTGGCAAATTTTTTGTCTGCTGGTGCCCGCTCTCGGCATCCTCTATCTAGGTGCACTGGTCTTGGTGCTCTCGTTCATTTCCATCCCTCTCTCTTGAAAAAATACTACTCACCTACTTCCAGACGGCGTGAGATGTTGATTTTGTCCTGTGCTTCCGTTCGGTGGTCGACTCTGGAGTGGAGGGGAGGCGGGATAGGGTGTCGAGAGATGCTGAGCGTGATCTGATGGAAAAGGTCATGATGATCGTTTTTGAAGCATGAACAGGTTTCGGTGTTGGTGCCAGCACCTACATCCAGACATGCAGAACCGATGATTCCGGCGAGCAGCTCGACATATAAAGAGAGTAGCGAAGCTGTGTGCGAGTCCTGCTGCTAGAGTAAAGAACAGAAATGGTGGAAAGGTGAAGAGATGGATAGCTTGCTGTCCATATATCTCTGATAGAGGTGCTGATATCATAGGTCCAGATGCGAGACCAAGGACATGAGGGTGCGAGGCAGGATGGAAGCAGTACGGGAGACGTTGAAATGTGAGGTGACTTCAAATGCAGCTGGAGAGTAGATGGAAGAAGCCATAGTGCTGTAAGTATGTTAGGGAATCTCAGAACGAATCGTATAACGTGGACGGGTACATTGTAACGCAAAGATATCCAACCATTGCCGTGTGATAAACCTGCTTCCGAAGAGGCCAGTTCAATGGGTCTTCCGGGTCACTAAGTTAGGGCCGTCCCAGTCTTGCAATATTTGATTCTTTCCAACCACCATATAGGTCAGATTTCGATGGGTTTCCAAATCTGATGGTATCTTTCCACTTGTCTGTCCATGCTGTGGTAGCGAAGAGACATTGAACAGTACGTTCACAGCCATCTAGAGCCAAGCCAGTCGATAGATGTGTCGTTGGTAGGTAAATTACGTTGAAATGGGCACAGGGAAGAGCCGGCTCAGATGTGCTTCAATCTTGCTAAGCACTAGAAGGACTGGCGGCTCGAGCTGCTCGTCGAAGTGGTGTACGAAAACAGAAATACTGTAAAGGCAAACTGGAACGTTCGAGACTGAGTGCAAGATGAGAAAAAGCTTCAAACGTGAACGACATTAAGAGTCCACAGAGAAAGAAAGCCATTTATACTCCACCTTGTTCAAGCAAAACCTACCATATCCAACAGCCACATTGGACATTGGCCGAATGGTCATCGCATTCGGTAGCACTGTGCGCAATGAGTGCCAGTACATGCAAAGGCAGCGAGTGTCGAGGCATACTGCCCAATCCGACTGTACAGACGCAAACCCAACGACGTGTAGGGAGTCCTGTCCTCCGTGCTAAGAAAATCTTGAGCCGAGGCATCTCCACCTCGTATGAATGAACCATGACTAAAATACAGATAAGGCTTAAACCAGCCAGCTATTCGGCCAAAGTATATGCTTGGGAATAGATATCGAGGCGGACTGTTATGAAGAAGGGAGTCGTCTGAGACGTTGTAGAATGCCTGATCCGGCTTTCTATCCAAAAGTAGATAGCGATGACTTAGCATAATAAGGTCGCTCGAAAGGTGTCAGTGACAACTTCTGTGGAGTACCACAGATCAGATCCAGGTCGTCCAGCGTAAGCGTCTCTTCCAAACTAGAAGCAAAAGTATGCTCAAACGATAATCTAAGAAGCCTACTAAGACAGCAAGATAATAGTTTAGCCCAGCACAGAAGCGGTGGGTCCTTACTCGTGCGCCTCGCTTGCTATGCGAACCCAACATGACAATGTGATGGTAATACAAAGTTGAGATCGTCGCCCCATCCGGCCAAATGAAGTGTATCCATAGCAACTCATGCCCATGGCTCCAGCGAGCAGCAACGCCGATCATGCAACAGTCAGTTGAAGCTCTAACAGAGAAGCAACGATCCCCGTCCGATCCCTCACACCAGGCCCCCTCGAGCTGTCTCCCTTCCGGCGATGAACTCATCCTCGTTATCGTCAGTCGATCTGGGAATGCTACCCGGTTCCACATCATCTATTCTGGTTGCATGCTTGGTGCCCATGAATCCTTCCTCATCAGTCCCACTGCTTTCTTCAAACTCCTTCTCCAACTCCCTCGCCAATTCGTCGTCGGAGCTGAGTTCTTCCTCTTCTTCCTTAACCTCAGCACTCTCCACCTCTCTTTGCTGTCTCTGAATTTCAGCGTCTTCGTCTTCGTCTTCGTCGAAGTCATTTGCTGGATCATTGCCGTCAACGCTATTGCCATTGGTGGTCGATGAGGCAGTATTGCTTTCTTTGAAGGTCGAGATACCCACCCCTGCTCTGTCCACACGCCGAGGCTGGTCGTTGTCGCTTTCTTCACCGTCATCTTCTCGTTTTCTCTTGGTTGCATTTCTGGTGCTGAGTTTGGAGCTCACAGACTCATCGTCCGAATCACTTTCCACGTCGCTGCCGATGAACTCTCTTAGCTCTTTGTCCATGTCTTCCCATTCGTCTTGATTTATGCTCAATGGAGACGTGTCTCCCATCAGCCCGTTGGCAACTTCATCGTTGCTGACGGTAACAGCGTCCTCATTTGTCAGTTCCTGGGTGTTAAGCTTTAACCGCTTTCTGTCAGGCTGTGCGTCTCGTGCTGCAACATCCTTGCCTGGCTTCCTGGTGTCATCAGTCTCAGCTTCGGTATCAAGACCCGTCGTTTCGCCCTCGCCTTCATCTGAGCTGAGAAGAAACCCTCCATCACTCTCCAGCAACCCCTTTCTGTCGTCTGCTTCACTTCTCTCCGGTGACCCATCCTTGTTCTTCCTCCTACTCTCTCCTTTCAGGTCTGGGAGGACGTAATCATCCTCTTTGGCCCTCTTCCACCCGGTCATACAGTCAATCAACCACTGCGTTCCAACGACCCATATACCTCTCTTAATGCCTTGCTTCACCTTACTGGTCCCAGCCCTCGCTGCGACGACATGAGTGACTTTTCTGCCTACCTTCTCGGCAATCGTGGCCCCAAACGTCTTCGCCCAGAGGCTTATATCGGCGGCCTGAACATCTGTCTCCAAAGGCAGGACACCGGAAAACACAATGACAACACCAGACAACACTCGATTCTTCATCTGGGGCATGACAGATTTGATGTCAGGTACCAAAAGGAGATCAGAAGCGTCTTCTGAGGAGGTGGGAGTTTCTGTCTGGAATTGAATCTTGCGGCCTTTCCCAGACAATGCAGCCACACGGCCGCCTTTCTGGCCAAGCCGCTGCCGGTCGTACTCATTGTAGAAGGCAGCATGAACGGCCTTGAGGCGTATTGAAAGTGATGCGAGTTCGCGGTCGTCATCACGAAGAAGTGAATGGCGAGCTGGGGCAGGTTTTGGTGGAGGCGATGGGGTTGGCTCCGCGGCTTCGCTTGAGGAGGACGACGTTTCTGACTCGGGCTTGGATGGTTGGGTGTCTCCATTGGCCATAGTGTCATTTCCGGTGCTGTCTGTTAGTGCTGCTGCGGCATCTGCTTCTGCTTGATCTTTGGCGTCTAGCAGCTTTTGCATTTGGAGCAACGGTTTCTCTTCGAGTTGCGCTGCAATGGTCTCTTCTTGGCCTTTGGATTGGATCTCTCGGACCACAGGATCGTCGCCTCCACCCATTGCCACAAGCTGCTCTAATGCTGAGGTCTCTTTGCCTTGACTTGCATTCAAAGCCCCATTTTCGACGTTGTCTTCAATCTTCGGATCTGGTTTGGAAGTGTCCTGGCCTTCTGGGATGCTCTCCGGGGACCTGACATCCTCGGATTTGTCTGCTTTCGGCGTAGGCTTGATTTCTGGCTTTTTGGGAAGGAAACTGGAGTTGATATCGCCAATGCCTACAAAGAAGTCGAAGGGTATTACTCGTACGAGATTGGCGTTCCACTTCCAGACGTCGCCCCTGTCGTCGATTATGACAACCATCTTTGTATCGATCGGAAACAGTCTCTCAAGGTTTTTGTTCGTCATGCTTCCGCTTTCGTCGCGACTCAGTATCCTATCGCCGAAATATTTACGATCCGGGTCCACAATGTTGGCTATTTGCTCCGCATATTGCCGTGTTCCCATGGTGTATATGTGTAGCTCGAAGAGCTGTGAGACCTGTTCCAGGAACTCCTTCAACCCTGGTCGTAGCTTAATGTAGTACCAACATCCACGCATGCCAGGCCCATCATCAATCAGCTGAAATGCGCGCACATCTTTCACAGCTTCATAGTTGGGGTTGTCCTTGTCCTTCTGCCACTCTGCTATTGTAGGGTCGACGGCAGCATGGATGATGGTCTGGTCAAGGTCAACAACTAGAGAAAGCCTTCGCGAAGCCAACAGCCTTCTCTTTGCCTCCTCTTCTCTCCGTGAAGCTTCCCTTTGACTGATTCGAAGCATTTGGGTATCGTGTGATGTCTGGAGAGGAGCGCGATCCGCATCATTCGCATCGTTGTTGTAAGAAGAAATTCTACAAGCATTACATCAGGTTGTTGAAGCATCAAGATGGGTTACCAAGCCACTACTCACATCGTCATGTCCTTTCCGCAGTTGGTACACATTCCGGCAAAATGTTCTGAATGTGCGCATTCCTCCTCAATTTCAGCGACATCAACCCTGATATGTAGTCAGTCCCCCGTGTGCTTTTGCTCTCTCGAATGACATACGGTCGATCGAGTACATTGCCCTCCCAAACGTTCCAGAATTTGAGCTTTCCTTCAACGCCCGACTCGAACTTTGCTGGAAAGGATTTCCTGACATATTTGTCGTCGCCGTCCCTACTACCTTCTCTCACCGTCGTCTCATAGGTGTATAGAAAAAGTGGCTCGTATTTGCCAACGTCTGAACCCGCTTCCTTGAGGACTTTGGTGATGGTTATAGGGTAGTGGAGGCCTCTGGGTAGTCGTAGAAGCATAGCGGAATTTGACCAGCCCAGCAGGTGATCATAGGCCCGAAAGCTTGCTGATGTGATATGTATGGTCTGTATGGGAAATGTATTGATATGGCTTTGCGCATACCGAAGCGCAGGGGGAATGCGCCAATCTGAATTTCTGGCGAGACAAAGGTCTGGAAGCGCGATGCAGTGATCTCGTGACTCTACCCACCGTAGAATCACGTGTGGATCTTCGAAGATACGAGTATGATGAATGATATGCTTTGCGCCTATGATGGGAGTTTCTCCAATTGGGGCAGACTCAAAACGTAGGAGCTTCACGACCGTTTAAGTATTCTATCGTGTCCCCGCAGGCTAAGAAAGCCGTCAAGCCCGATTGGGGAAGCTGGTAAACCCCAATATTGCACCGTGTACTCCATATGCACCAACACACCGGACAATGAATTCTAAATTAATTCTTCGGCTGGCGGCGCTGATCAACTAATATCCACTATGGATTGTCCGGCAGGATCTGCTTAGTGGGACATGATGGGCTTTTTGAAGCCTATCGAAAGAGGTGCACTCCCATTATCAGCAAGCAGGCTGCCATCCTGATGGCTTGATACCAGGCCTAGCAGTTCACGGGAGCGCTTTTCTCGGATAAGACGGAGTAGTGGCCTTCCTATACTGTTGCCAGCAAAGCACCCTATTCATGTGGATACTGAAATGTCAACAGGCTACGCTTCACAGATGACCATTCCTATAACGAGATCAGTTGCCAGTTTGTACACCGTCCGAGCCGCAGAGCTTTGCAAGTCAGCGGTACTCCGTAATTGCGACGCAAAACCTGCCCTGACATAATCAGGACATCTTACCTTGGGAACCTCTTGCCAACGATCGAGAAATCGGTGTAGTACTATTTCTTGATGCGATGAAAGAAGGCTTGGAGGGAATATCAAAATCGGTTCCATAACTTGGGACGTATGCATGGCTTTACGTCCAGAGTAGTGAGGTTACACAACGGCCCTTTTCTCAGCAACGGATCAATTGCAACACTTTTGGGACGCACAATACTAGCTGTAGACGAGGGGAAACACCGAATGGCTTCTACTTGGCCATCTCTGGGCATGGATGATTCGTGCTCAATCACAATGCTCGTCCATCCAGTAGTTGTCTAGATACAACGAAGTATTGCGCGCCAATAGCTTGAGATAGGGAATTGTTGATCCATGCTCACATTCGATATTGTAGACTGCAGTAGACGGTAGACGAGAGAAAAATGAGTGCCTCCTGAATTGAGGAATAGTAACTCAATACTCTATCTAAACCGTTGCCAGAAAGCTTCATCACATTTAGCAAATGATAAAAGTACTGTAGAAAAGCTTGTTCCTTTGGCACAGGCACGGAGGCCGTGATGTTGAGGACGAGAATGCAGGGAGGAGACCGAGCAGAGAGAGATATAAAGCGAACTATGTAAGGACAGAAGGACAGAAGGATACGGAGGGAGATATGATGAATCCGATTTGACAAAGAACTAACTTTGGGTCTGGTTAATATTATACAGCGTATTGCCAATGAGCCAGTTGCAAGTCTCCCGAACACTCAAGTGATGAGCAGCTCAAGTACTGCATGTCAGCGCGGTTCACCCACCCTTTCTAGCCAGTCCAAGCACACAGAAATTCCAATTTGTCTTCCTTGCATTGTCCCCCAGGTTCCATGCTCCAAACTAAGCAGCCGCAGCCAAGCCAACCGCATTGTTGCCCAGATCATAGACACTGTAGTATCTTCGCAAAAATACGTCACCGAGAATAACCAATGGTCCGGCAGGCTCAGGGATGTCAAGACCAATGAAGCCACTCAGACAGCTACCTCCGGATTCGATGATGTAATCCGCAGCACTGATGGTGAAGTTGTAGCCAGATAGATTGAAAGTCATGTCTGGTGCGGAGGTCCTCTTGCTGCAGTCCACCGTGTACGCGCCATTGAAACTCTTCTTCGCACCAATTTGCTTGTTGATAAGCTCTGCAAGGGTTGATGGAAGAGCAATCAAGGAAGTGCCGGTGTCAAGAATCACACCAGTGTTATCGAATTCAGCTGTTTCTGAGCCAAAGGTAATAGCATCGAGATCAACCTCCCAATATGCCTTGCGGCGTAGCGGAATCTTCACCATCTTACCGGTATAATGGTCCTTGTCGATACCTCCGAAGATTGCTTCAGATTGTTCGCCATCACCACCGATATAGAAGGCGAACACAGGCTCATCAAGAAGACCTTGATCAAGCATGTTGTAGAATGGGGGAGTAACGTGATTGACAGCTATGGTGTCATAGCCTAGCCCAAGGATACCGTCAAAGCGGCCAAAAGCGAAGGCCAGGCCAGGCTCTTCTGTCGCTTCACCAAAATCTTGCTTCTTGATCTCGAGATCGCCAATTCGCAGGGTGTCTTGTGAGATGTACCCTTTGACGCTGCCAGAACCGTATCGAATCGCGAACTCAGACCCGTTCTTTCTGTAGGTCGAAGAGTCCTCGGCGTTGTACGTGGTGTGCAGGTAACAGGCGATGGAACCACATTCCGAGCCGGGAACCCAAAGATTTGAACTGCCGGTGTCGAGGATAACGTTGAATTCTTGAGCTGGCGAGCCCAAAGCGATGGTGCTGAAATCTAATGGATGAGATTAGCGGTAATAAACTCAAGGCCAGGACAAGTGCCGAACATTGAGCATTTAAGAAGTTCTCAACCGGGACCGTGTGGCCTTTATCGGCGTCGATAGAAGTATGATGAAATATATCCTCCGATGGCTGACCCATGATCTTCTGGGGGCCGTATTTGTGAGCAAGAGCTCCGGCAAGATCACCAATGTTCGCATTTTTCTATTTTCAAGGCTTATTAGTCTCTAGAGAGCTCGACAGGAATGATACGGAGCTCGGGATAGATGTTAGAGAACTTACAAGCTGCTGTTCGAATGGTATCTTCTGAAGCTTCATGCGATGGATGCCAGCTGAAGCGGATCCGAGCAGCGTAGTAGCTGCCATAGCTAAGCTGGTCCTCATGATGTTGAGAGCCTACACGGACAATCAAAAGAGCGAGAGTAAATGGGCAGCTCAAGAAACTAAAGTCTGATAGATGATGAGGGATGCAGCTTGATGTATAGTTGAACTGGATGTGTCGTGTGGTGTTAAGAGTCAGCTGCAATGGAAGTGACGGCGGCTTCCCGCCTGGTGTTGGTTGTCATGACGAGGCAGGAGGCGGGTGCTGCAGCCTAACTGTTGAGCCAGAGCCACTCGGAAGCGAGAGCTGAGCCCCACTTCAACTCCAGCCCTCCAAGCTTGGCATTACTCGAGCAACCAGGTAGTACGGACTATCAGCACCACTTCTACTCCGTATAGCTAAAATGCCTCAATCATTGACGATCAGGTACCATCGGACGTACGGTGTCGTCAAGCTTCCATTTGGTCGCTCCTGATATGCCAGCAACATGATGGACTATACGGAGTAGATGGTGGGCTCAAGTGCCTAGAAGAGCTGTAAACGTACAAAGGCCACGATTATGATTGAGTATCTGTCTCCTCACCCAAGCATAACAGAAGCTGCTCTTTTGCTACTGTAGCCTGGAGCCTGTAGCCTGTAGCCTGTAGCCTGTAGCCTGTAGCACTTTCGTCCCGCTACTTTCCTCCACACAGGATTGCCCGTATGATTTCTGTACATCCACCTATCCATGTGTGCCCTTTAGTTATCCATCATACACACCATCAAGCGCCTCCCTGAAGTGATGTGGGCCTCGTGGTGTACCGTGATATGCGCCTCCTGCCTGCCCGCTTGCAAAATTGATGGTACAATTTCCAACGCCTCATTAATTAATCCTCCAAGCCTGCATACATGCACAATTGCCGGATCACATATGAGTCGATATCCTTCGACATCAACGCTCCCACCAAGGTCTCTTTCCTGGGTACCACCCCTAACGGAAGCGTCAAGTCGCCAGTCTCACCGCCAACTGTTCGGGACTTTTCAGCCAAGCGTCGCAGGACGGCAATACCGCGATGCATGATCGCACTGATGGCATCTGCGTCAGGCTCAGTATGCATACCTCGTTGCTGAGGGTGCCGTGACGGAGCTGGAGGAGGCCGTGGAATAGTAGCCAGCAGCAGAACGAGCTTCAGAAGAGTCAAAGCAAAGCCATCGGTGGAGCTGAGCCATGATCTGGCAACGTCAGATTCAGACCCTGGGGCAAGGTTGGACAGTATCTCCGCAGCTAACATGCCTTGCAGCAGGAAAGGCTTTCGAGTTTCAACCAGCGCAAGCGCTGCCCCTTTTGTATTGCTGGGAATTGGTGCAATGGCAAGACCAAAAGTACGTGTGAGAAGCTCGTACGGAGGCGAGGATGTGGCGTCAGCCGAAAATATTGCTTTGTAGTACGACCGATTCGGATCATCACGAGCCAGGAGTTTAGCAAGGCTGTCCACAGCAGACGGCGTATACTTGTGGATGTTTGGATCGTAGCTGGCAAACGAGACGCTATTCGATGTACTCGAGACAGGGTGCGGACAAGGGGCGAAAGAGAGTAGAAAGTGCAATAAGCACAATGCCTCGTCCCTGCCGGGAAGCTGAATGGAGTGCGATAGATTACTCAGATAGATGATAACATCTTTCATGAAATCCAAAGTGTTCCGATGTGATCGTAGGAACATCTCCTTCGTGCCTAGATGCTTGATGACAGAGGTCAGAAGCCGGACCACTTCTGGCATGCCTAGCAAACCGAAGTTCGTCTCATAGAAAGAGAAGTTTCGGACAAGCGTTGTGATGCATATCAGTCGATCTACTGCGCGATCCAAGTCATACTCCAGACTTCCCATCTCATGAATATCTTGGATTGTTTCAGCTTCAACTCGACAGCTTCTTATGACATGCTCATAAGACCATATCAACATCTCATCTGATACCTCGGTCGCATTCTTGGCGAGAAAGTCCACTTGCTCCTGAGCACAGTCAACAAGAGATTCCACCAAATCATCGCAAGCGTCCAGTGAGAGGTGTATAGTAGGGTCTAGCGAGATTATCGTGAGGGTATCCAACGTCAAACGAACCTCGGCTGAGATACCAGACTTGATACTCATGTTCAAGGCGTGTATATCGATGGTACCAAGCTCGCGAAAGGTGGGAACGACAGGTTTGAGGTCTAGCAAATTGGACGTGATGTTCACCATTTCATCCACCTTGATGGGGCCATGTAGGCCACTCTCGTTGCCAGGTAGAACTTCGGGCTTAAACGGGTCCTCTATTGGCTGCTTCCTTGGCATTTGAGGTTCTGCTTCCATTTCTATGACCTTGCCCTGTCCAGTGTCAAGTCCTTTGGTAGGTGGATACTGCGTTGGTACGCCGTTGACGCGTTTGTTGTCCATTTGCCGCGGTAAATTATTCCTCTGCTGAAGAGTCGCTTGTTGTTGTCTTGGCTGGTCTTTGATCTGGGAAGGCGGCGTGTAGCCGTTCATAGGCTGTGGGGGATTCGCGCCGTTCATTTTCATGGCATTTGGGTCGACCTGGTGAAAGTCGGAAACAGGGAAGTTGTGCTTGTTGGGTGACATCTGGCTCTGTAAATGGTGTTGTGCCTCGAAGTCCCCGGACGGGTGCCGCACCTGTTGACCTTGCCTGTGCTGTTTGGCAACCCAGGCGGTTTCGTACGGAACAACATTGCGATTCCAATAATCCCGAAGCTCTTGCGCCGCGGGTCCTATGTGAGACGTGGGGAAGCTAAAATGCTGCGCAACAAGTGGCCATTGATTCATTTTCGTGATCTTGACTGAGCCCCCAGCTTTGATTATGTAGAAGAAAAGCTGCATCAAGGGGAGGGGTCGTCCGCAAATGACAGGATTGACATTCACTGGCATCCCCCTCTGTTGCATAAAAGACTGCAAGCCTCTGGCAAATGTTTCTGGTGTTATTTGACTCCTAGCGTTCTGCTGCATCTGCTGCATTGATGCCATTTGAGGATTTGGCATTGAGAGACCTGGGTTGGTCATCTGACCCATTCCGCTGCTGTTTGGCCTTGTCTGGGCCGCTTGAACTTGTAACTGTCGCGCTTGAGCTTGAATCTGCATCTGATATGCACGTTGCTGCGATGAAAGTCCTTGCTGCATTGACGGCTGACCCATGTTGAGCTGGGGGTTCATCGGCATATGGTTGTTCGCAGCAACAATCCCTTGACCAAACTGTGATTGGTTGAGTTGTTGGCCAAAGTGGCCAGGTTGCAAATATCCATTTGGATTGTCGTGTGGAGTCCCGACTCTGCTCGCATGATCCGAATGCGCTGGAGACATTTGTGGGCCATGGTGATGTGGAGAGAAGGGGCTTGGGGAGGCTGTTGCGACACGCTGCTGACCGGCATGCTGGGGAAATACGTGACTTTGAGGAGTGGGCGACGGGGACGCGTTTGAAGTGGAACCCGCCTGTAGATGCTGGAAAGCAGTGGGAGCGTTCTGAAAGTGTGGTGTGCCATTCGAAGCAGGATTAAACCCACCATAGGGTACATGGAAACCGCCTGTAGCTTGTCTCGGTGAAGTAACTAAGCTGTCTTCTCTTGGCCTTTTTGTTGGTATTACCGGGTTGAGTTGGGGGAACTGGTTGTGGAAGGCAGGGGATGGATTGCGAGCTGCGCCGTTGAGGAAGCGTTGATTCTGGAACTGAGAAGGATCGATGGTGGAGTTGGGCTGGAGGAACGCCATTGATGGATCGGCCGAAGGTGCGAAGCCGGCATGATTGGTGTTTGCGATGGAAGGTGGGTCAGCGAGCCAGTTGTTCATGGCTTGAGGTGCCAGCGGTCACCCATCTGCGAGTTGCCAGAAAGCATCAGCAGGTGTTTCACAGGAGCAGCTTCCCCATCAGGAGCCATTACTTACACCCAGACACATCAAAGGCACCATCCGGAGCCCGGGGGAGATGGGAAGTGCTCCCCGGGTGCTACGGTCGATGACTTTGTGGTGGGTGTGGTACAAGGTGAGGTTGCGACGCGTCAAGAGACCAATGCTGAACTCAGGGAGGGTGACGCGACAAAGGATCAGGATGGATTAAACTAGCAGAGATGGCAGCAACAATGACGAAGAAAAGCTTCTTACCTGACTGCAAGGTTTTAGCGGAATTGTCAGAGCGTTGCGAATCGGAGAGTGGATGTGTGAGCCTGTGAGGCTGGTTGCCGAAAATAGGCCAAGTGCGGGCACAAGCCAAGTGCCTCAAACACTTGCGACCGACAAACACCCAAGAAACGAGGGAGGGAGAGAGAGCTGGCAGGACACGCGAGTCAGCCCAGATCAAAAGCTTAATCAGCCATATCATCCACTGTCTCTGACTGGCATTCCATCTTCAAGCAAATCCTAAGATGGGCAAGAGATTGCGCTAGCGAAAGGGATGGTGATGGGTTGGGTCTTCGCTCCACGCCATGTGCTGGTCATCCAGGCAGATGCTGTCACGGCCGGGTGATATCCAAGCGTTTGCAGCAACGAACCACAGATGGGGACGCAGGGAATGTGAAACCGAGGAGGGAAGGGCCAGATACGTACATTTCAAATGTCTACTTTTCCTGTGAGCCTAAAAACGAGGCCACAAAACCGATTAGATATGGGGCAACACCGCAGCTCAGTTTTTCAGGCGGGGATTCGTAACGAAATCGGGAGGAGTCTGGAAGGAGGCGGTCGGCCTTTTCGCTGGGGAAAATTGATAAATGCGTGAGGCTGTTAGGCGGCTTGGACGGTACTGATACCGCACGGATACGGTAAGATTCAGGGATTCTGCCAATGTCCCCACGTTAAGCGGATGCGCGAAATATCCTGATCAATCAGACCATCGACAGGACCTAGGCAAGTGGAGAGCAGGGCTAGCCGCAGGGAGAGCCGGAAAGGATGCGAGACACAAGCAATGACGGGCTGACTCTTGATCTCTCCAGCGTTGCGGCATCGCGAGAGAGCATTCGACAGCACCGATGATCCAACTGACCCCTTTCCGCCAGCGTTTCGTGCATGGAAAATACCACAAATGGGGCCAATCGGGTAATAAAATGAGTAACCACTTCCAAATTGGGGCTGGGTCAGCGTGTCCTAGCGCCATCTCCACCAAGTTCAAGGTGTGTCCAAGTGCCCAACTCGAGTCCATCATCAACCGGAACCGACACGAGATTCCTGCCACCTAGATTCTGGCTCTGGCTTCGTCGTCGAGGTGCTGCCCGAGATCACAATAGAACATCGCCGTTGCTGCCTCAAGCTTGCTTGGTAGCAAGAGCAAGATCTATTGAGACACTGTCGTAGGCCCGGTAGAGATTTGATATCTGGTGCTCTATTTCCAGGTGTTGCCATTACTGGTACAAGGTATGATTCCCGATACTGGCCAGTCCGGCGAGTTCATTTCAGAGCAGCTGCGCTGTAGCGTAGGCGGATCCGGCGACGGTAGTAATGATTGCCTCTTACCTGAGATTGTTCGTGGGGACGGCCTCTAGGACTGTGAACATGGTGGCCTTAATGAGGTCCTGGGAAGACGATAGAGTTTATCGAAAGGATACGAAGGAAGCAACAGCAGGTGTAAATACCAACCAAGACAAGATCAATCATGTGTAAGAGAGTAGAAAGTCCGTCCCTTCATTCCTGCATCCCTGCATGTGGCCTCGCTCTCACAAACTCCTCGCCTCTAGGCTTGTCCTACAGCCTTGAATTATCTCACTTTCCACCAACAATCAGCAAGACTACCTAGAGCGGGAAGAGAGACTCCAAAAGCAACGGCTTGTAGTTCTCCTGACCCTTTGTATGCTGGTCTTGTTTCCAGGGCTGACCAACGGTTGCCAACCACACGACTGGGGTCCAATTTTGGTGAGCAGATTATTAGATGCTCTCCATTACATTACAAAGTGCCTGTAATACCTACTAGATTGCCTAGATGATGCAGAACTCAATGGAATGGAAGTAAATCGGCGTCATCAAACAATGCTACATTGTTTGCCCTTGTGACGCTCCTCGCCAGTCGCCAGTTATATTTCCGCAAGAGCTACCAGGGTCAGCCAAAATGTCTGCTTAGCAGCGGAAGCTACGGCATCCTCTTCCACCATCTCCTCTACCCAGTCCGTTGGGTTACTTAAAAAGTCAGACGACGCAGTCCATGGGATGAGGACCCAGAGGCTTTGTCTGGGGTTCAAGACGTGTCGAACTTGCTCCCAAATTATTGAAATGTAAGTGATCAAGGCACATTATCGGCCTCAACCTGTATCACCAGAAGTACGGTAGCATAGAAGGATTCATGACACGTCGGCACAGCGACAAGTGGTTACTTACAAGACTTTTGCAAAGCGAGTATGTAGCTTCATGTTCTTGCCACAAACAACTGGTGCTCGATACCTTGAGTGTAGTAATTGGCGCTCAAGGACGAAACAGGACCAGGCGATCCAGCTCCTTTTGCTACCAGTCGCGGCAAACACATCCCATTAATATCCTGCTATCGCAACTATTTTCCCCCCAATTCTTCAGCTACAAGGTGCCAAGAGCGCCTTTGTCCCGAAAGATTCTAGCCCAAAGGATAGACCTAACTTCCGCGCAATAGTGAAGCAAGCTACAACAGTGCATCGCATCTGCGAACAGGCGCTACATCCTGATAGGAACAACTCAACATTCCTGATCCTCCAAATTCTCTGAGCCATCTTAAAACATTTGATACTCCGACTTCTATAACGACCTGCGCATCATCTGATCCCATCGAACCTTCGAAGCTTCTCGCCATGGGTGATGTCCTCGTAGAATCTTCCGCGAACGCAGTGCTGCCTCACAAGAAATCTGCGCCAGCAGACTCAATACCGAACATCGACTCGCTCGAAGGATCGGGCAACGATGGTGGTGATGAGTACTCGACCCTGAAAAGATATCAAAGACATCTTGAGTATGGCTACTCGTAAACAAGAATGGTGTAGAGATGTGGCTAATGAATGGCCAGATACATTCATTTACAGGAAGAGTACATCAAGGACGAGCAGAGGTAAGGAGGTCAAGCTTGCTTTGCGCTTGGATGAACACTTATAAGTGGTATCGCAGGAGTCTGAAACGTGAACTCGTTAGGGCGCAAGAGGAGATCAAGAGAATTCAAAGCGTACCGCTCGTTATTGGGCAATTCATGGAAGCTATTGATCAGAAGTACATCTCAACTGACCACGTTCTCCGTAGCTATGCTGACTTCTTCATCAAGCACCGGCATTGTGCAGTCATCCACAGGTTCGAACTATGTTGTGCGAATACTGTCCACACTCGACCGTGAGAAGCTGAAGCCATCCTCCTCGGTCGCACTTCACCGCCACTCTAATTCCCTTGTTGACATCCTTCCACCTGAAGCCGACTCTTCAATTGCCATGCTCGGCGCAGACGAGAAGCCTGACGTCACCTATGCCGATGTTGGGGGGTTGGACATGCAGAAACAAGAAATCAGAGAAGCAGTCGAATTACCATTGACGCATTTCGATCTCTACAAGCAGATTGGTACCTTTTTGCACACTGGCTCTTTATTTCTCGACTGACGATCTACTAGGCATTGACCCACCCCGTGGCGTCCTTCTTTATGGGCCCCCAGGAACAGGTAAAACCATGCTCGTTAAAGCCGTAGCCAACTCCACCACTGCAAACTTCATCCGCGTCGTCGGGTCCGAATTCGTTCAAAAATACCTTGGCGAGGGTCCTCGAATGGTCCGTGACGTTTTCCGTATGGCTCGAGAAAATTCCCCTGCTATCATTTTCATCGATGAGATCGACGCAATCGCTACGAAGCGTTTTGACGCTCAAACAGGCGCTGATCGAGAAGTGCAGCGAATTCTGTTGGAGCTACTCAACCAAATGGACGGCTTCGACCAGACTAGCAACGTCAAAGTCATCATGGCTACCAACCGCGCAGACACATTAGATCCCGCACTATTGAGACCCGGCCGACTGGACCGGAAAATTGAGTTCCCGAGTTTGAGGGACAGACGTGAGAGACGACTCATTTTCACCACCATCGCATCGAAGATGTCATTGTCGCCTGAAGTGGATCTCGACTCCCTTATCGTCAGGAACGATCCGTTGTCGGGTGCGATAATCGCGGCGATCATGCAGGAGGCGGGATTGAGGGCTGTTAGGAAGAACAGGTATAATATTATCCAGTCGGATCTGGAGGATGCATACTCAAGCCAGGTTAAGGGGGCGCAAGAGGCTGATAAGTTCGACTTCTACCGCTGAGCAAGATGGAGAGGGCTTAGGGGTAGAGGAAAGTCGAAGAGAGACATCAGGAAACTGGTGTGGGCGAGTTAAGTCCTTTAAGCAAGAGGCTTTGCAGGCGCAGGACACAAGCCGCGTTTGGCCTGTAATAACACCTAGAAATAGAGCAAGCATGTGCCTGACCAGGCAGTGTTCTTCTTTACTATGCAGAATTCGCGCTTCAGGCCTTTTTTTGTCTATCGTAGTGGGTGATGTAGTTAAATGATTGGGACAGATGCCTTATCGGGCTGTTTCTTCTCAATGTGCAGCAGATAGGATAGTAAAACTCGGTATTTAATGTCTCGCGTACTCAGCGCTGCACCGCGTTCTAAGCACTCGACTTATCTTCTCCCTGCCTTCCCGGTGGCTTAGATCTGGTGCTTATCCTTATCGCTCGCTAGGTGTATCCTGAGGAGTGCTGAAAGAGCATGGGACGGCCCATCTCCAACCCATGAACCCATTCTGAACGCTGGTGCACTTTCACATGTGCTACATAGTGATGGCAAACCACTGGTGTCTGTTCCTACTCTTACTCTACACCTTCTCTCCTTTCTGTATCCTGATTGCCCTAAATTGCAGACCTTCCCCTGCACAACGCCGATATTTGCTTGTCCTCGTTATGCACTTTTGCTCTTATGCGAAACGGTTCTGATATCCTATGAAGTGCAGAATCACTCGAACAAAGGCCCAACTCTTGCTTTTTTTGGTAGATACGCAACTGCTGGTCTATCCGGTCGACGTCCTGTCAACCCGAAACTGCAGATCACCTTCTGCGCAAGACAAGAAATACCATCACCATATATTGGCAGCTTAGAATCCCCTACTCTCCGCCCATGCCTTGATCTCCGGTGCCCTCCAACCCCTCACAATTATGTGTTTGGTATGCCAATTCACGCTCACACCCTCCACGTGTTCTCCTCTCTGATTCGTCAACCCACCTTCCAGCCCTAAGGCTTTTGTTAGGTCGGCTTTCAACGCGCTCAGGTCGCCAGATAGTTTCCTTAACCTGGTGATGTGTTTAGTACCGCCGCCTTTCGAGAGACTGTAGACTGGTAATTGGCGGCCAGGGCGGGTGCGGGTGATTGTGTAGGGGAGGTTCGGTGGTGATGCAGGTGGTTGCATAGTACCATTGGGTGCTTCGGAAGACGAGGACACGAGTTCTGTAGGGACTGAAGTTTTCGCGGCGAAAGCTGGGTTCGAGCGAGCGCGCTGGACTGAGGCGAGACCTGTTATTCATTCAGCAAGAAGCGTGCGGGAAGTGACAGACGGACAGAAGCGCACGTTCTTGTCTCATAGCTTCTTTCTGTTTTCTGTGCAGCTTGTCTAGTAATGTGACCTTGTGCCCATTAGATGAAGCTCTAGTTTGAGCTCTGCACGTGGTGACTGGTCGTAGGATCGCTCCTAGAAGGGCAGTGGATGGAGGTCTCATGGCTGCAGATGTCCAGATGACTGGGATCATTGCTGCCTCACATATGCAGGAAGTGAAGAGCCCCCAGGCAACGATTAGGCAGCGCTTTCGTGATCAGTCAGTGAATTCGTTGGCAGTCTTAGATCTCTGTCTCCTAACTAGATACGAACTACCTTCAGGTCGTAGTATCGATTACTTTATACGCTTTGCTCCTTTTGTTATAGCGTATACATTGGCGCACGGACCACAGTCTAATTTTTGCACACAGAGATGTCCTCCTGGCGTATGCCAGCGGCCTCCACTCCAGCAGAAGTGCAAATCAGTTTTGTAAGTGTGGAATAATGCCCTACAGTTCACTACTTGGTCCTTGTACTAGCCACGTCGAGTGCTTGTGCTGATACTCCTCAAGACCAGAATTGTAGGCGGTCCCGAATTTTCGGACTTTTTGGAGGACGCCCTGCTCTTTGCTTTGGAAATTGACGACGTCCAAATTTCTGGGGCTTGGCTCAGCATCTGGGGCAGCATTTGTTTTAGCGACGCCTTGTCTTGTAGAGATTCTGCCTTCTACGATATCTACAACCACTACACCCAGCCCGCCCTTGACGTCCATCGCAGAGCCTTAGAGGAAGGGGGAGAAGCTCAAAATGGCTCTCAGTAATGGGACTGGGCCCCAGTCAGATCCTCCAAGCGAGTATGAATTCCTGGACAAGATCATTCGACACATGGATCGACACCTCATCTTCCCACTGCTCGAGCACGAAACGAATCGCGAAGACATCTCCGATGAGCGACTGAAAGACCTGACCATTGCGAAATACCGCCTCCTCTACAACACGAACATGACTGATTATGTGGCCGATCTGTGGAAGGAAGTCAACGACTCTGATGAAGTCCCGACTGAATTTTCGAAGAAGAGAGAAGAAGTTCTAGAGAGGCTGCGCATATTTGAAGAAGAATCTTCTAAGATTACGGACCTACTGGCAGATGATGCGGTGGTCTCACAACTTCGCAGCGACAAAGTTGCGAACCTGAAATTCCTCGAGGAAAATCATGGTGTTACGATCGAAATGGTGAACATTCTCTACGACTTTGGCAAGTTTCGATACGCCTGCGGCGATTACGAACGAGCTTCCGATCTTTTGTACCAATTTCGAGTTCTCAGCACAGACAACGAGAAAGTCTCTCGAGCAACGTGGGGAAAGCTGGTGTGTGAAATCTTAAACACAAACTGGGAGGCTGCGATGGAGGAAATTCAGAAGCTGAAAGACAGCATCGAAACGAGATTGTTCAACAACCCACGAGCACAACTCACTGCGCGTGAGAGTCTTGTGCATTATGCACTCTTTCCCTTCTTCAACTACGAACCCGCTCGCGAGACTCTGACCGAACTCTACTTCTCTCCGCCATACATTTCTTCAATTCAGACAGTATGCCCTTGGATCTTACGATACCTTGCTGCGGCTGTCATTACGAACCGATCGAGGAATAAAAATCTTGGTTCATCTTCGGGTGCATATCAGAAGCAGCTGAAAGATCTGGTCCGAGTGGTCAAGCAGGAGGTCTACGAGTACAACGATCCCGTGACCGAGTTCGTCAAAGCTTTGTATGTCGATTTCGACTTCGAGGAGGCACAGAGGAAGCTTGGAGAAGCTGAGGCAGTGCTGAGGAATGACTTCTTCCTGGGTAGCTCGACAGATGTCTTTGTTGAGAGCGCGAGACATCTCATCTCGGAAAGTTACTGCAAGATCCATCAAAGAATCGATATCAAGTAAGTTCATGCTGTTTGGAACTTGTGCGAGCGACACATCTAATAGTCTATCTTAGGGACCTCTCAAAACGACTTGGGCTCTCTGAAGAAGATGGTGAGAAATGGATTGTCAACCTAATCCGAGACACCCGAGTTGATGCCAAACTCGACTACAAAGCTGGAACCGTTGTGATGAACCACCCACCACAAAGTGTGTACCAGCAGGTGATTGAGAAGACGAAGGGCGCGTTCTTCAGGACACAAGTGTTGAGTGCTGCTGTTGCGAAGTAGTGCGATTATGTGGTTAGCGGATTCCTCAATTACGGCTATTGGGTGCTCCATGGAGACTTTGCTCGGGGTAGCACCATATTTTAACGATGGAAAGACTCGCACTGACAGATCAGGCGACCTAAAAGGAGCATAGCGTGGGCGTCAATTGTCGTCTGGCGGAAGCCTGAAGATGCTGGCAGGGGTAGCTACGGAGGCGTGAGAGCCATCCAAACAAGTTGATCGCGTCTATCCAAAGTTCACTATTGTTATTACATAGTATTCGGTCTGTATAGCACAGCGAACCGTGGTAAACGAGTATGGCTTCGGGTAGAAGCAGAAGACTGCCACGTGACTACAGAAGTGCGGCTTGATGCACGTACGTCATCATATTACACTGAACCAATGATACAGCACGTTTAAGTGGGGCCGTTTATTCCTAGGACTGCAACCCCCTGCCTTTTGAACGTCTCATGCCCAATTTTTTGAAGTTCTTTGTTGTGTCCCAATGCCATCATCGGTGACTTCATTCTGCTTCAACTCTACATCGACAAAAAGCCACATCGACAAAATTCAGGATCAACAACACAGTAGAAAGAATTGCCAAGGCTACTGCTG